GTTGTATTTTAAAGCCATTTGGCATCATTGTGTTTTGAGATTCTTGCAAACAATGTATTTGATTACTTATTACTTGTGTTTACAATGCTAATAATACTGGTGTTTACAATGCTAAAAGTGTTAACACTAACGTAAGATGGTGCACAGCTTGCAACAAGAACAAACAGTAATAAACTTATGGAAAGAGGCCATATCAAGACTGCCAAAAAAGCGAGTTATTCAAAATCTAGCAACCATGTCACCTTTTTTAACAATATATCTCTAAAAAACTAAAACAAATTTTCACCTCAAACTCACCAGAATTACATATTAATATCTTATGAAATATGGCAGATTTGAGCTCAGAAATTATCTAATTTATTTCTTTTATTGAAAACAAAATTATCCGTTTGAAAGTATCGCCTATCAGAATAACATGTAGGAAGCAGCTGCAAACTTTTTAACCGGAACTATGCCGAGCTCGAGATAGTTGCCATACGTGATTTTTTACGTGCAGTGAGAACGTCCCTTTTATCTATGTTTTCGTTGCAACTCACTGTAATTGTGTCTATAAAATGTTTGACTTCTGCTAGAAATAGTTGGTTGGTTTTAGTTTGTGTTGAGGATCTTCATAAAAAGGAGTATGTATTTAAATATTATATTACTTGTCAATAAAGAAATCATTATAATTTGAGGAAAGAATTGTACTTATTGTTATTTTTCATAATTATAAAAATTATTTTACTGTGAGCTATTCGTTGTATGATCTTATTTACTTAGACTGTGAACATCGAAAACATAAGCAATGAAAACAAGCTTGAACATTGCGCATTGATTTAGCTGATCCTATCATTTATTCATAAACCGTAAGCAAAAGTGAATTCATCAGCCTTGTAGTTTTCGATTTATACATAGAGCTTTGGATATGAACACTGCACTCTCGGCAAGGACAGTGGGAGAAGTTTTTTCATGAGCAGGGCCCCTACATTACTGAGTGTCCCCTAAGTGTTACAAATATTTTTTTTTCTTTTTGTATTTTTCCTTGAGAATTGACTATTAGAATGAGTAAACAAGAATTGAAACTTATTAAACTCAAATTTAGTAATATATCACAATTTACTTTTGTTATAAATAATTTATAACACTTTGCAAATAAACAACTTGTGAAGTAGGTTTTAAGTTATGTCCAATGGGGCCTCTGAGAATTCACTGTCTGCTTCTAAGTATTCTAGTTCTTATTTTTAAAATATTACCAAGAACTTCTATACATTTTTTTTGTTGTATTAATAATGAAAGTATTTGCTTGAACATATATGTGCACATTAAATATTTTCGCAAACAATTTCAATAATTTGAGTGAAGCTTCTAAACCAACAATTTAAGACAAAAAATTAACAATTTTAACCACATATTTGTTTTAAACTCACCAAAGAAAGAAATAAGAATCTGATTAATACTACTGGTAAATGGTTTTCTTCTTGTAATATGAGTTATTGTTTGCCTTTCATGGTCAAATTTTCTAAATTCTAGCTTTTATGTTTAATTTTTTTTTCCAGAAAGGTATTGTGATTTTAAATTTTTTTTACTAAGAAAACTGCATTTATATTTTTCATAAAAATTATAGGCAAGTTCAAGAATTGTGTTAGATAGACGTATTGGTTGTAGGTGCTTCATTTTCTAAATAAGGAAGGATGTCTCTTCATAAAGCCTATATATCTGTCTTTTCTTGGTTTGCCATCCTCAAAAACATTAGAAATAGATTTTTCTTTAAACTAATATCCAACAAGTTGTCGATAACTGTAAGATATGCTCAGTTGTCCTAAATCTAATTTCTTTTTAAAAAAGGAACAGGAAAACTAGTCCTGTTCTTATTGGATCTTATTTTCTACTCTAATTAATTGATTTGACTTAGTGATATGAAGTAGTAGATTTTATCCCTTGATTCAAATGATTGTACTCAAATTAGATTATTCAACTTAAAACTGATCTATTCATTATATTGAAAAGTTTTTTTTTATGTTGCTTTGATAATGTGATTTCAAATTTGTTTAACAAATTCATAATTTTATTCACCAAAATAAATTAATGCATTTGCCTTTTGTTACTATCCCTTCTAAAAAAATCAGGAGGTAAACCATCTTAGCACATAGTTTAGAAGAAAAAAAGTAGTCTGCAATATATTGTTTGAATTATTACTAAGTGTATGCAGATGTTTATGAATTAGAATTTATTTTAAAATATTTTATTCTAGCTGCTTTTGTATGAGTCAAAAAATCGAGAAACCAACATTATCAGGGCAAAGAATAAAGACCCGTAAAAGAGGTTTGTGTGAAATTTTTAGTGTTTAATTTTACTATCTGATTTAAAACATGAAATTAGAAATCATACAGATATTTTTTTTATACATATTGTAATACTAGCCATTGGAAGTGGACAGCATGAAAATACGAATAAGATTGAAATTAAACTAGGAAGAAAAAGCAGGTTTAATAATGTAACCAATGTTATATAGGCTTTAAAAATTGCTCAGCATTTTTTTTAATTAAGAAATATGCAATGTTAAAAGGAGGCAATGCAAAATCAACCTCTCTTCATGGTTGTAATATCTACTTAGAAAATATTAATAACTTTTGAAATGCAATATTTTTTTACTTAGGGATCAATAAAACTCTTAAATGACATATTTATAATAAACTTTAATAATGAAGGTTTTTGATAACTGATACATATAGGCCAGAAATTGTTGAGTCGANTATGCAATGTTAAAAGGAGGCAATGCAAAATCAACCTCTCTTCATGGTTGTAATATCTACTTAGAAAATATTAATAACTTTTGAAATGCAATATTTTTTTACTTAGGGATCAATAAAACTCTTAAATGACATATTTATAATAAACTTTAATAATGAAGGTTTTTGGTAACTGATACATATAGGCCAGAAATTGTTGAGTCGACATAAAAAATAAGTTATCATACATTCCAGGACACATTAATTTCTAAACCATGAAAAAAAAAATTTTGTAGGCAAAATTATAACTAAAATTAAAATAAATAAATAATTTTTTTCTGAATTGCTAGTTGTTTAAAGAGAAAATTAGATATATTCTGAGTATCATATTACATCATTGCTTTTCCTTCATGGAGGTGTTTGATCAGTCCTTTATTATAAAGAATTCTTTGTTTTGTTTATCAATCGATAGCGTAATTATGAATGTATATAAATTGATGGATAAAGATGTAGAAATTCATATTTCAGCCATGGACCAAGTTTTAGTAAAAAAAAAAGGACCCAGAAAGTTGGGAGTCTACCGATCCATAATTTCTTAAGTCTAGAGAAATTTTTGGATGATTGGTATTTGAAATAGTGATAATTAAGTATTTCATGTTAGTTTTAAATTAATAATTTTTTTACTAATTAGCTCTATATTTTTCCTTCTAAAGTTGTCATCTTTTAAATCTTGTAGTGATAGGATAGTACTTTTCTATTGTATTTTCTTTATTTAGTCAGTCGTTCTTGGTTCACTTGAAATATCGTTTTTAACATTGTTGTTATTTTTGAAAAACTTTTTGTTATTTGATTTGAGCTCTTTGCAAATAGTCAATCTATTTGATATGCACCTATAATCTTTATAACAACAATTTGTTTCTGAATTTACCATTGAACTAATTTTTTTTAATCGTAGATGAGAAAGAGAAGTACGACCCTACGGGTTTTCGAGATTCCATTATTCAAGGTCTTGACGACAGTGGATCTGACTTAGATTTAGTTTTTAAATTCCTAGACTCTGCTGGGTCAAAGTTGGATTATAGACGTTACGGAGAGACATTATTTGATATTCTTCTTGCTGGTGGTATATTAGGTAAGATTAAATTTTTTGGTCATAGTCAGATTAGTTTTTTTATTTATATATATTAATAATTTCGCTTAATTAACTTCTTTAAATTTATGATTTAGCATTAATTATGTAAGAAAATTATACTATCATGCTGTTTTTACTGATTTATCTATTTTTCTTTTATATAAATACTTAATCCTATTGTACATTGCAAGACTGGTAATTGTTTCCTGATATTTCTGTATGTTCAAAACATCCCATTTTCTACAAATATAAATGTGGATTTTAAAATAATTGATTTGAAGTATCAAAAGATTTGATTTTTCTATCTAGCAACTTATTATTTTAATTAATGTTGCTAGTAAAAATTGCAAAACTTGGTCGTTCAAAGGTAGAAACCATCTTCAAACTATTTATGTGGTCCAGGTGTATATTCTTAAACACAGGGTTCAATGTTTCACATTCGGAAATTCAGTCATTTTATAGAAAAAAATTGAGTTACCATATATACTTGCATATTAGTCTATCTCGCTCGCTATTATTTGTAGCCCCTGTCGAGAAAATAACTTTAAGTTTAATCCCTTTGCGATAAGGTATTATTTTATTTTTTAAATACTTTGCCATAATGTTAGAAAATAATGGCCAGAATAGAAAACTAAACTTGTGCTAACAAGATCAAGCAAGATAAAACTATTTGCAATGAGAACGGAGGATTTTAGAAGGTAAAAAGATGAGCGTAGCTTTGATTACTTGTGCAACAAAACTAGTTCAAATCAGATAGAGGGGGGAAATGTTGTTCACTTCTATCTTTCCTCTGATGATTTACTTTATGTTACATAGTTCTTCAATACTGGAAATTTCTTTGCTGGGTGCTTTTTTGGGGAAAATAGGTGGGAATATGTTTTGCATGAGAAATAAGTTGTTGAAAAAATTACCAATATTTGACCTGTGGATAAGTTGACCCCCTCCCACTTAAAATCTCGTTTTTTTTTTTTGGTACCAAATTTTCTTATTTATATACGAGTGTATGGTAATAATTTATATTATCAAATTTTAATAAAACAAATCTTGGACCTTTAAAGTTTCACTAGAATTAATACGTATTTTTCATTTGATTTTAAAAATTCTCTATTCGAACCAACAATATAATAATCATATCATAGATTTTTGAAATGGTGAATGCTAAATCATCTACTAAATTACTTTTGAATAAAAATTTTACGAGACATATTTACTGTATTCTTGTATGGAGATTATTGAAACCCTGCTTAAAGATTATTTAATGAAAAAAAAATCTTGAATTCCACTGTAAATTTTAATTAAATATTGGTATGAGGGTATGTTTAATTGTTGCTGATTATTTTTTTAATGCAATAGTACTATACTAATTTTCTATATATTGATCTCAAACTATTATGAGTTATTCAATGCTCCATTAATAAAATAGCCATGGGAACTTTCTGTTCTGAACTAAGTAGATCTGGAATAAAAAATAGTATATTTTATTCTTATTCTGTGATAAAATTTGACTTTAATATACTTAGTTAGAGCAAATTTTACTGTTTTAGTTTATTTGCTTTTTTTAAATTTAGTCTGATATTTGTATATTAAATAATTTATAATTTATGTATATAATTTAATAAATTGTCAGATTCTTATATGTACAGCCATTGTAATTATATATATATACAGCCACTTAAAAGGGGTAATAGCATTTACCAGGGTTTTACTTTTAGTGTTTTTTTCCATTAAAAAGCTAACCCTGATAACAAGATTTGATTATGTATAAATGCTCTTCTAATAGAAAATTTTACTTCTTTCTTATTTTTCTAGTTTAGTACTTTTCAAATGAAAATATAAGTAACAGTTTGGCTGTTTTAATGTTTTGATTATTCTTCATTGCTTAGCTCCCGGAGGTACACTAGCTTTGGATGTGGATCCTCTTAAGGTATCACGAACTGATGTTTGTATTTTCAATGCTGGAGACGATTTGGAATCTCTAAAAAACTATGCTCAAGTATTAATATTGTCTTATTCCTATTTAAAAAATAGATTCTTCCTTAATTAAAATTGTTTAATTTTTGTTAACAAATAATCTTTCTCTTTAGGTTCTCACAAAGTTGATAAGACGTTACAAGTATTTGGAGAAAACTTTGGAAGATGAATTTAAAAAGGTTATCATTTTTTTTTAATTTGTAAAAGAAGTTGTTTGAGTACAATGTTTACTTCATTGGTGTACAAACAAAATTTGGTACATCAGAAAAATTAATTTATGCATTTTAATAAATTCTGTCAGATTTTCTGAAAGATTTTTTTTAATATTTAAATTGGTAAAAAATTCATGCATGATTCTGGACCTACATTTTGATTCAAACATACATAACAAAGTACATACAATGAATGATTAAACATACATTCGATGATTTAAACAAACATGTTTTAAGATGTTAGGGTAAACTTTAAACAATTAATTAAATTGTCATTTTACTACCTTTTTAAAAATTTCTTTCTCGAAGAGTGTAATGTTGACAGTTATGATGATGAACTTTGAATCATAATTGTGAATTAAGAATATAATTGAGCATTTTTAAAAGAAATCAAAATGAATATACTTCAAATATAAATATACGATGAAGATAACTACTATATCTGTAATAAAACTTAAAGAAATAGCAATATGTTGAAGGAATAATTATTTAGCAAGATTTTTTTTTTTACTTTGAATATTACTTATATACATATATTTTCTGCATTAATATAGTTTTATAAGCTGAAAACCACAATGCATAGAGAATTGAAATTGGAGTTTGCCCTGTTGAAAAAAATGAGAGAATAATGAGTCCTTAAGTTGAAATTAGTAACTGTCATTTCCCTGTCTTTCTTAATTGTTCTAACAAATCAAAATTGATGAAGCTTCCTTTTATTTCCATACATAAAATAATTTAGATTTCAATGTTTATACCTTTATCTCTGCCAATACAGATTTTTTATCAGGTATAAATTGTTGTTTATACTTCTGCAATGTATGTCCTAATAGTTTAATTTTTACGTTGGATTTTTAAATGTGCATTTTAAAAGTAATTTATATTTGAAATTCATATTTTGAGAGTAATATTTTGTATATCATTCTAATTTTCTAATTTCCATATTAATATTGGCATATAATATATTTTTATTGGTATTTTTTTTTCTTTTTTTAGGTATTAGTATTTTTAAAAGGATTCACTCTTAGCCAGCGTTACAAATTGGCCAAAGTTACTGCGATACTTCTTGCTGGTGGACAAATTCCTCCTTCTGTTCTTTCTAAAGTTTTACAAGACCATTTAGTGAAAGATGGTATTTTGTGCTAGGATATTATAATTTTTATTAGGTATCATATGCTGCAGCTTCTATATTTTATTATTTGTTTAGGTGTGGCTTTGGAATTCATCACTGAAGTTTTCAAAACTTGGCTTCATGAGAGAGACAGTATTACAGTATGGGCTTCTCTTAGAAAAGCCGGGCTAGATTCTCGTTTAATGGTTTGTATTGCAATATTGATGTCCTTTATTAGTTATTATGTATAGCAGCTAGTTAATTTAAGTAACACTGTTCTGTGCAAATACAAAATTCATATGGGTCAGCAAAGAGCTAAACATATTGGGGAATTTGCTTATAGCCAAAATTTTTTGGGAGCAGTAAGAAAAAAAATACTTTTCTTGAAAAATTCTGAAAATTATTACAATTTAGCAAAAGGAAAAATAAAGATTTACCTTAAAATTAATATTACATAATCAATGAGATTCAAATTAAATTCTTCTATTTCTTGTAAATTAATTCCTTACATAACTATACTACAACAAAGGGTTACACTTATTAGAGTTTTAGTCTGATACAGATCAGTACCGACAATATTTTAATTATTTTCTTCCTTTAAATTGTTCCTTAGATGTAACCAAGATTGCTAACTAGAAATATTTGCTTAGCTGGTATTGCTAGTTAAAACTAAATTTTCCTGTAATTTATATATTGTTTACACAATTAACATATTTTATTTATTTATTTTTTATCTCAAGTGAGGTACATACATGACACAGACTTTATGGCTAATGTGGCTGTTAACGGATTCATCATTTTGTCTTTTTCAAAGGCAGTAAATCAGCTTTTCCTTATTGTTGTACTCAGGAAACCTGATTTGCTGAATAGGTTGAAAGGTTTTGTTGAAAAATTTTTTATTGCCCCATAATAGATCAATGTGTGTCAATCCATTCAATTTAGCATTATTGTACATCTGTACGTAATTAATTCCATAAATTGAATCCACAATTAAAATAATCTTGTTTTCCTTATAGAAAAAATTGTCAGACATAGTAAAAATGTGGTCTAAAATTATGTACATTGTTTTGTATAAAAAAAGCAGAATTTTTTTTTTATGAAATTGAGTAAAGGATTGAAAAATAATTGTGATAATTTTATTACTCAGGTATGATCAAAAGATAATAATAATTAAGTGAAGCAAAAAAGAAAAAATAACTTAATAAAATAACTATAAAAGAAAATAATAAATAACCATAAAAGTAAACAAGTTCATAGAAAACTTATTCTTTAACTTCCCCTCAGCACTGATAGGAATACTTATACAGCACTGACTGAATAGCACCATAAAGATAACATGCTTTATGATCTTGCTCATTTATGATTGTTACATTGTTATTTACTTCATTTTAGTACCAGTGTTTGTAATATTACACTTCTTATTAGGATACTATGTTAAATGCCATATAATTTATTATATTACTGGTTTCAATCTAAAAATGCCATATTATGTACTGAATGGTTAACTTACTGTAAAAATAATTAGACTGATTTATTAATTTATAATATTCATTCTCATAGGAATTTTTCCCTGCAAGCAAAAGAAATATTGAAGTTTTGAACAGCACTTTTAAAACAAACGGATTAAGCCAGTTACTAGAATTCTTGGTATGTTAACAAAATTTAGTATTTACCTCCAAATTCAAGTTTTTAAGTTGAGTATATGTAGTTTTTTTGTAACAATTTTAGGAAATAAAGTAATATAGCTTTTTTATAGTTGACAATGAAGAGAAAAAATCTGCCTTGCATTTATTTCTTCAATCCCTAGTACTTAAGTTGTTTGTTGCATTCACACTCTTGGTATTTTATTTTGCTGCTAAAAGAGAGTAACTTCAAAAATATTTGTCAATTGTTAGTTGCCAAACATGCTGAGAATCTTTCGCTACCAAAGCACTCAGCGTTTGTCTATTAGTACCTTTACCTTTGTCTACTGAGATTTGCAGAATTGAAAAACTTTTTATATAAATTGTTGTTGCCTAGTTAAACTAAATTAAAATCAGATATTTCTTTGTAAAATCAAAATATTTTTAAAAAGTTCACTTAGAACTCCTTTGCACTGGGCTTTTCAAGTTTTAGGGGCTTTTCAAATTTTTGTTGTTAAACTAACCTTTAAAAGTCTCAGATTTTATTTTATAGCAGAATTTATAAAAATTACACTAATTACATAGAATTTATGTATTCATGTAATACTATGTGTAGTAAACAAGAATGCATGGATGCAAATAAATTTTTTTTATTGTTATAAGCAATTTAAATAATTACGTACTAAAGAACAGAAAACTGAGATTAAGAAATAGAACAAGATTAACCATTTATCTAGTAACCACTTATTGAACATCAAAACTCAAACTAAAAAAAAAACTAGAACAGAGTAAGTTTGTCAGAAATAAATATATATTTTCTTTAATCTGTAACTATAATTCGAGTAACAGTATTAAGCTATACCAATGCCCCTCATGTAGAACCCTTTGTATTTAACTTGAATTCAACATTGAATAAATAAATAAAAAACCTTTAAGCAACATTCAATGTTACAGCTAATAATAGGCAAAACAAATAGAAAAAGATTATCTATAATTATGGACATTAAAATTGTAGATGTATTAAAAAGACTTAATTTTTTAGGTTGTTATTTGCTGTAGACATACATATAAGTAGCTTTCTAAATGTTTGTTTGAAAATATAAGATGAAATTTTTAGCTAAAGAAATTTGCTTTTCATATAATTCAAACAAAGTGTTCATTAGATTGCAGCAAAAATAAAATTTAATTATATGAAAATATTTGTTTACAAATAAATCTATTCCACCTTACTGTCATTTGTTTTATTTGAAAAATATGTCATTTTAATGTTCTTGAAAGCTTTAAATCTTGAAAATATGTTATTTACTTCGCGTAATACAAGTTGATTTAGCATGAATTTCTTAAATATTTACTATTAAGATATTTATGTTTAAAATAAAACCATTTTATTAAAAATTAATTTTTTGAGTAATCCTGCATATATATATATATATATAGTTGAAAACATGTTGTATAACCATAAACTGTATGGATTTTATATTTATCATGTAATCAATGAACCAGGGCTGCCAACTACTATGCTTTTTGTGAAATACTTTATAGAACAGTAAATAATTAACCAAGGCTTTCAGAATTTTTGTTAGTTTTCCAAAATTTTAAAAGCCTCGCCATGAGAAAGTTGAAACAAAGTGGCATTTCATATAATCTTTTTGATCATTTACATGTTCTGTACATCCTGATGTATAAGTTATTTTTGATTATGAGAAAGCAGATTTCTTTTATATCAGGTGTATAAGTCGGCCGCTGAAAAAAACCGGTACAAAATTGTTTTAAATAAGAAAACATAAAGAAATTATTTAGTCTACAAATTTTTTTTAAGTTTAAAATATTTTACATTGTTCTTTCTGGATATGATACATTTGCCCTCAAATAAAGATGCATTGCAAAAGGTTACTGAGTCTGACACAGATGTTGCTCTGCGTCTGTTTGGTATGTTTAAAAAATTTTGATTGTGTTATACATTTTGAAATGTTCGTAAAAATAAAAATCTTTTCTTATTCCTAAATTTTTTTCTAAATGTTATTTAAAGTGTTTCTAAAAAAATCTTTCATATGTAAAGAAACTATGATTAAAAAAAAGCAAAATTCATTGTATATAACAAATTAAAAATAGTTTCTGAAAGGGGTAAATTGATGGAGAGTTATTCATATCTATCTCATAGTTTATAAGGCATCGATATTTCAGGATCAGCAAATGTCTGACTTTATTAAGGGTGTATAAGTCGTCTGCCTGATTTTTGTAAAATTTTGGCGGATTTGAAAGGTTGACTTATACACCAATATGTATGATAGCGGTGTGGAAAATAACTTCAAATCAAATTTACTAACCAAAGAATAAAAAAAGAAATTTATCTACCACTAAAAGTTATTTTCTCAATAAAGAGTAAAGTTGGCTGCCCTGAATTAACTAACATAAAGAACAAGCTTTTTTATCTCAGTAGTATTCCCCGTCTTTCTAAACAAATATCTATTCATTTTAATTTGAATGAGTGTCAGATATAATCTAGAAGATGTTGGTTACTCTACTTGTTTTTAAACCAATAGTTAAAACTTACTTTACTATATTTTATACAGATTTATCGTAATGTTAAAGTTTTGTGTATAGATAAGTTTAATATTCTATAAAAAGAAGCTGAAAATTTAACTTTTTGGTTGATCAATAAAAATGTAGATAATTTAAATTTGATTTACTTGTTCATATATTTAGAAGTTTTTGTATGATATACAATTCTTTTAAAACAATTTTTAGAAAGCTCAAGAAAATCAAAGTGTCAAAAAAGAGCTTCAATTGCATATTGGATTGTTGCTAAAAGATGGTGCTCAGGTGAAAGAGGTAACTGTTTTGATTTTTTCTTTTGCTGTGAAATTTCAAAAATCTTAATTAGTTGAGCTTTAGCAGCATTAAAATTCATGGCTCAAAGTTAAATTTTGCTGCCACCTATTTTGAATCAAAATCTTGTGTGCAAGGTAGCATAAAAATCTGGAAATTTTATTGTAATATAATTTGCACAAGGAAAGGAAAACTTTTTATTGACTATATATATTTAGTTGAAAAGAAATATCACTGAATTATTGTATGAAAATTCAAAACATGAGTTCTTATAAATATTTTAAGAGAAAAAAAAGTATAACAGCAACATCAATTGCACAGAGCTGACTAAATGCAGTGTTCTGAACAAAAAATGACTAAAAATAGATAGTTCTAAAGAAATAATAAACAGTTAATAAAGAATTCCGGGTCTTTTCCCTTGTAGACAGTCTGGCACTGTTCAAAAGTTGATGAATCAAGGGGGATGGTTAATAACAACTCATATATATATATACGAGAGTTGTTTTTTAAGTAAGGGCCAATTGAAAACAAAACCCAATTGAAAGAAAAGTTTCAAGATGCAAATTTATTTTCGGATTCTACCTACGTTTCTCTTTTTTTTCCACCATAGTTTCCAAGATTGTTTGAACACTTATCATACCTTATAACTAGATTTAGAACACCCTCTTCATACAAACTTGACGCCTGCTTCGTTAACCAAGAGGTCACGGCCGTTTTCACAAATTCGTCATTATTGTAGTGATTGTTTCCAAAATTATGTTCAAAATATCAGAAAAAATTAAGAACACTCCAACCAGAACTTTCCAACCAAAAGAGTCTAATAAAGCTGGGATCTGAGCTGCAGAGAGAGTCATTGTCATAGAGTAACAAAATCCCCTGTCAGCGTGGCATGGAATTTTGCTACTTCACAAATCGTAACTTCATAAATCTGCCAGTGTATGTATGCAGCAGAAAGATTTTTTATCGGCTAAATGACTAGACAGTTTTTTTTAGATTATTACTTTTAAAATCTGCAAGTGTAAGTAAGCCACATAAAATATATAAGAAAATTTTAGCACATTTCTTATAAATAATGTGAATGTAGAATTTGCTTATGCTTGATTACTGGAAATGCAATATTAAATCAAAAATATGTGTTTTAATTCTTTCTTTAAGTGAAATTTTTTAATAATTTTCTATTGACAGTTCAGGTCCGCATTCTCTTCTGCATTTACTTTTAACAAAATTCCCTTTTTTTAATGATGATGTTATCAATCATTAAATGTTATGACCAATAAATTTAAATTACTTAAACTATTCCTCATTAAAATTTTTCCACTCTAGTATAGATTTAAATTTAGAAGTTATATGTAAGTTGAGTATTTAAAAAGACAAAAAAACTCCTTAAAACACCATACGCAGAAAAAGTAAGTTTTTATAAATACTCATGCATTTCATGTCAGTTTTAATTCTTCAAAGATTATAAGTTGTTTGTTATTAAATATAAATATAATTCTGTGATCATTTATATTCACTATGCATTTAAATTAATAAATTAAAAGAAATATCCTGTGTTTAAAGATAAATGGTTTTATATTCTCACATGCTTTTTATAATATGAACTTTTGCTCTTTAGATATAGGTTGTTAAAGTTTTTCCTATTAATTTGCTACTAATAATTTAAGAAAATTTACATTTGACTTTTAGATTACTCCAATTATAAAGGAACAAATGAAAAAGCACTCCATTCCTGAGCATGAAATTGCTGTTTTGGTATGTTTCTCTAATCTTTTTGTATTATATAACTGTTTTGTAAACATTTGTAATCGCCTGAATTTAACGTACATATGTAAACATTCGGTGAAACATCAATAGGATGAACACCTTTGAGACTCAGCAAGCTTAGCCCTAAGTGCTTAAAATAGGAACATTATAAAGTAATAAATACAATTTCTATTTAAGAAATATTTCTAGAAACTTTGTATAATTTCAAAAAAGAAATACAATTTATTGATTTTGTTTAGGCTAATCAAACACTAGCTTATTGATTTGCTGACTTCTTTTCAAAACATGGATTGGTAGCCATTATTGTTTTTACACCATGTAATCAGTTTTTCTTTTGAAGTTTATTATGATTTAAAAAAGTAGATATATTTTCAATTCTTCGTCTAATATTTTTGGCGTTTCAATTGACGTACTAAATATTTCAATTTAAGTGTGTATGGTTTTTAAGTGTTCTGATAGTTTTCAGGAGTTGCAATTTTCTCATTTATGTTTATTTATGAGTTTTCTTTTAAAATCAAACCATTTATAGCCATTTTGAAAAATAGTGTGACCAGAAAAATAATACAAATTTGAAGCTTATCGTTTAATATTCTGAACTATTGAAACACCACAAGAATTCTTTACTGCAGCAGTTTTTCCTCATCAGTCAAATCTAAAAGTTATATTTCATCTAATGTTAAATATATTTATAAATGAATTAATTGTTAATGGGTTCACATTCACAAGAATTACCTGAAGTAAAACACCTGTTACGAAAAAACCCTGCAATATTAACTTGTTGTGCACTAGGCCCTATACAAGCTCTTGAAATTGTTTAGTGTTGCTATGCAGTCAAAAAATAATTCAGTATGCAAACCTATCTTCATTGGATAAAGCTAAAACTGGTTGCCTCCTTGCTTAAAAACCGTATTTGTAGGAAACAACAGATAATTTATAAAGATATATAAGGTCTTTAATGAAGTGAAAAAGGAGCTGTTTTTATTCCAAATAACTGCTTAGGTTTGGTTGTCTGCTATTAGAAGGTAAAAGTTATTGGAGAAAAAGAGGATGTCCTCAGTGTAGGTTTCTTACTTTGAGAAGTGTTTTGAAGGTGAATTTTCACTTTAAATATCTCATTAGTGTGGAAAATAAATGTTGTCTGCTATCAGTCAATATAATTTTTTTTAAAACTTGTTTAAAGTTACAATAGAACAATGGGCATTTTGAAATACTTAGTAAGTAATTGACTAAATCTTGTAAATGAAGGAAGTTTCTCTTGTTCTATCTTTGAAACCTCATTCTTTATTTTCAAAACTATTAAAATATTTTGAAAAGTTGGTTGTTTGGAATTGTCCATAAAAATTTCACCTTTTTTTGTTCATTTTCTAATGATTATTCTTCACTATAAATATTTTTTTATTTTAACTGCCCATCTTTTAATAGCTGTGGATCTCATTGATGGCTATGATGGAATGGAACAAAAAAGAAGAATTAGTCCCTGAACAAGCAGTGAAACATTTGCGGCAATATACTTCTCTCTTGTCTGCATTCACTCGAAATGCTAAATCTGAACTTGCTCTACTTGTCAAAATGCAAGAATATTGCTATGATAACATGAATTTTTTGAAAGTATTTGAAAAAATGGTTGTTCTCTTCTATAAAAGTAAGCATTTGGTTTTCTATCTTAAAATTTATGCTTTCATGTGTATCGTAAGGAAGTCAAACTTTATTATTCAGGAGTGTTTTATTTTTTTAAATTACAAACAATCTATTAATATATGGGACGAGTTTTGATGTAATGAACGAAAACTTTGTTAAATATAAAAAAAAATTTAAAAAACTAACGATATATAAGAAAGCAATCCATTATCTTAAAGTTCCATTATCTTCTGCATATGATCCAAAGCAGAAACAAAAAGTTTGATAATTTTAAATATGGTTTTGAATTATAATGGTATCATAATTTAAAATTTTAAAATCAACTGAAAAAAAAGTGATGCTTTTTGTGGAAAATATTTCCTATCGGTAATAAGCTGAAGTGGAAATTTTTAAAAGTAACTAGTTTTTTTTTAGAAAAACTTTTCCAGCATTTGAAGACAACTAATTGACCATCTGGCCTTTTTATATGTATGTTTAAATTATATATATCTTGGTAAAAATTCTTTTAAAATAAGTTCATTCAACTAAGAATTAGCTTAATGTTTTAATTACTAGTTGTAATTGAAACCTAACCATAGCGCTCGGAAATTTAACCCATATATTTTTAAACTTTCCAAGTTTCTAGCCTATCCCTTAGAGAATTGAAATTTAACATGGTACCCATGTCCAATTATGTCTGTGCTATTTTATTACATAAAATATAATGTAGTGTACTTCATGTTTGTAAAACTATTTAAAAAATAAATACAAAGAATATAAGTATAGTTTATATTACTGTTACTTAAAATTCTTTTAACCACAGTAATTATAATTAATGGTAAAATGGAAATAAATAAAAGTACTAAGAAAAAAAATTACATTACTTTTCATATGCGTCTATACATATATTTGTAGTGCATGTTTAATTAGTGTGATAGGTGAATCTGCTGCTTGTAACATATTAAACAAATTGTAGCATAATTCTTTGATACAGCTATTAGTATTTTTTTCGTTTTTTTCTCCAACATCAATTTTGGAATTAGTATTTTTCTTTGTAACAGGCACTGCTGTACACTCAGTTTATATAAGGACGAAAACACTTAAAAGATTGTCTAGTTTTTCATTCAGCAATATTCAACATGTTTGATAAAAATCATGTGGCTTATAAGATATCGACCATATTTGCGTCTTGAAATTCATTGGTTCTGCTTTTATTACAGTGCTAAGTTTAAAATATAATTTTATTAAAACAATGTTAAGATTGCTTTTAAAAGAAATAACAAATAGGTTTAAACTTTTTCAGGTAGTTAGATTTTTAAACTTCATAAAAAAGTTTTTGGAAGCAGACCTCTGAAATGTATGAACAAATGATCAATAGCTAATAAAATATCTGGATCTTATGTGTTTTATTTAAGTGCTACTTTTGAGAGTGTTTTGTACATATTATAAATATTTAATCAGGAAATTTTTTTCATATGTCTTAGCTGAAGTTTTGAGTGAAGATGTGATACTGAAGTGGTATAAAGAAGCTCATTCTCCTAAAGGGAAAAGTATATTTCTGGATCAAACCCGTAAATTCATAGAATGGTTACAAAATGCTGAAGAAGGTATTATGATTCAAGTTAACTTATTTTGTATTATCTCATGAAATGCTTGATTAATTTTTAAATCAATAATTTAATAAAAAAGTGAATTAATAATTGGTGTCATTAACCTGTAGCTTGTCAAATCATTTAAACAGATTAAAATAATTGGTCAGAAATGAGATTTTAAAAAAAACGAATGACGATTATATGATAACTGGGAGTGCAAAATGAGTTACTGATACTTAGAAAAAAGTCTGTTCTGTGTTTAAGACCAAAAATACGAAATACGTGTAAAAATAAAGGGTATAAAAGTGCAATTAATCATAATACTAATCGCAGTACAAAATATTTTTATCCAATGGACATTTTTGGAACTATAAAATCAAAGAATCGGGAGACAAAACTATTTTGCAGCAATTGTTATTTTTCACAATAAATAAATTAAAATAGTCTGAAGATAGCATTCATGGTAGCTACGTGACAACAGCCCAGAAGAGAAACAAACTGTTATAAGTCTTTTAATGATGGAGAGTTATCTGTACATTTCATTGACTTTGCCCATGTGAAGTTATATTTCTAATATCAGTTTATCTGGTGTGACAATAATGAGATATGTACAGCAGTGTTCCCCAACCTTTTTATCACCGCGGACCTGTCAACGTTCGATAATTTTACCACGGCCCACTGAGCATTGATTGTTTATATTTTAGATTATTTTGATTTTATAATTTTAATTTAATTGTATTTAAACATACCTTTAAAATCATCTTTTCATCATAGCAATAAAATTTTAATGGAACACAGATATTTTTAATTTGGGGTATAAACCTAGGAATTTAAATTCAGTTTCAATGAAATGGGCGGCCCGGTACCATTTGATCCACGGACCGGGGGGTTGGGGACCACTGATGTACAGGATCTAACTACAGAGATATTCAGTATGGTCTTATTCAAATGCAGGTTTTCCAATGTTTTATTCTGAATGAATTAACAAATGGAACAGATACTGCAGTTAAGGAATTAGCTAGCATAGCACTTAAAGCATTACTCTTTGTTCAGATTTATACTATTTTTTGACAAAATTCTGGAAATATAAAAAGATTACAACTTCAGTGAAAATTAAAATTTTGAATACAAATCCAAAATTTGTTCTCTATGGATCTAAAACATGGCACTGTAATAAAAAAAATCACGAAAAATCTTCAACTGAATAAGAAAAATCTTATATATTAACTGGTTTCATAAAATTTGTAACTGAAATTCTTAGAGTTGTAAAGCCAGGTATTAATTGAACTTGGAATTAAGAAATATGAAGGAAAATAGATTGTTCATGTTCTCTGAAAGCCTGAGAAATTTAAATTCAAACGCAGTTTTGGTTAGAATTCTCAGGGGAGAAAAGAAAGTTTTAAAGCAATTTTGTAAAGAATGGTTGCAAAATGATTGCAATCAGAAAGACTTGGAAGTAAGCAAAGAAAAAAAAACAGTCAAAAATAGATTAAGATAGAGACTGATAATAAAATGCTCCAATTCAGTGTGAAGAGCAATATGTAAAAAAATTTGAAAAGTGACTACTTTCACAGCAATTTAGTTATAATATCATTCTTCAATGTTCCATTTAAGAAAAATTTCTTTTTGTATCTTCATTTTTAGTATTGGGATTTTTAATAAAAATTTGTTTCAAGTATGCCTTATGTAAATTTTTTAAAATTTACTTTTTTATCTTTATCAAAATATCAGTTACTAGATTTTTATTATTGGCTTTTATATTTGTAAGGTTGCTTACCAGCTATAGAATCTACCCACTCAATATTGACAGTTGAATATTAGGTGTGACATTAATTTATAGTATATTATTTATCAAAAGAAAACTTTTCTGTAAATGCATCTTTTGAACTGCTTAATAGAAAATGGTTCAGAGTGCCCAGCTCTTGAAATAAAAAAACAATTATTTCTAATCAGTCTGTTTCTTTTTTTTGGGGGGGTGGGGGGTGGAAGAGTCAATGTTACAAAATATTTAATAAACTTTTGTGTCATTTGTTTTATACCTTTTTATTTAAGGGAATGCATATATTATGATACTTATTTGAAATATCGAATTGCTTAATTATTCTTTTAAAAACTGCAATAACTACCATTTGTTTTGTGATAAAATGTAAATAAGTCTCTTCAGGTTTTAAAATGCATTGCATACTTGATTGAAGCTTTTAATATAAGTGCATACTGAATTATGTGTTATTCTATAGAATAATATTTTGATTTCTTATAATATTTTTTTATAAAGCTATTAAGAAAGGTGCCAACTATTATGATTTATCCATAATTATTGCAATTTTAAAGCCGCGGTCTTATGATTTAATAATAAAAATTATGGTTTTTTAACATTTCTTTAATAATTTTTTAAAAATAGGTTTTTTCCCCATAACTACGAAGAGTTAAGAAATTTTGTTTGCAACAACTCCATGCACCTTAAAATTGTGTTAATTTCAATTTTGTAAAAATTAACTATACATTTTTGTTGTTTTATTTCTGATTACTAGTAATTTGGGCACCTCTTTATTAAGGAAGATAAATTTTATATTTTTTATAAATATTTTTCTATGAATTCAAAACTTTCTTTTTCATTTGTAAAAGCATAATTTGATTTATTATGTTTGAATATCTGCAATATGTTAATTTTTTAAAATACACTTTTATTGCTGCAGAATCTGAAGGAGAAGATTAATATCATCAATTTCAACACACAGACTGCAATGAAGTGTTTGAAGACTTATTTTAAAGTAAATTCTTTTATATTTACTAACAAACAAAAAAAATATTGTACTATTCTTTTTAGAAAATATCATCATGCTGAAGCATTTCATCTTTTAAAAACCAAAAAATCATTATACATGTAGAATTTATTTTTCTATTGGTAGTTCTGGTATAAATATGTGATGTTATATACTATGACATTTTTAAAAAAGATGTTCTATAATATTTTAAAACTGAATGAATTATCACCAGTAATAAAAGCATTTGCTTTTTAAAAGAAAAGTGCATATCACTTTTCAATTTTTTTTAATATTTATTTATATCCAATCCTGGTGGTTTTACTTTTGATGTGTCCGAAAAAGAAAAGGCATAGTTAATGGCTTTTTGCCGTATTTTATTACCTACAGACAACAATAGAATTTGTATTTTATTATGGTTTATTATGTTTTAAATTGTTATGTATACTTAATACTTTGTGATATATTTTTACTAAAAAGCATCTGTGACTTGTTTTAATTTATTCTAAGTGCTATATGGAATAGTGACTTATGTTGTTTAAAACTTTAATTTTTTTAATAGAGAAATAGATGGTGTTATGCTGTTTAAGATTATATTTGAAATATATATTAGTAGAGGAAATAAAGTGTGAATATTATTCTCTGGTAATCAGAGCCTGTTAATGTGTAATAGTTCACATTTAACTTTGTTAAACTTGAGTGATGTTAAAACGTTCCATATCAATAAAAAGTTTGTTTTCATTTAGATATCTAATTAATTAAAATCACAAGTGTATATTTTTATGGCTGCATATATATTAAATTTATGATTTCCACTTTTATTTCAAAAACTCAATGATACTTAATGTTAGCAAGTAACATTCTGTAATATATAACTCATACTTTTTAATGTTAACAACAAATTTATAAACAAATTATTCTAATACTAAAGCATCATGTTAAAATATGACTAGGTTAATGCCCTGTGGTAGAATCGCAGCGACACGGCGACATTGTTGCAGAACGTTACAAGAGTTCTTGCAGAATGATTTTTCTATTAAAAAGCAAAAAAAAAAAAAAATTTTTTTNAAAAAAAAAAAAAAAAAAAAAAAAAAAAAAAAAAAAAAAAAAAAAAAAAAAACAATTTTCTTCTCTACAGAGAATTATACGTAATATTTAAATCTGTGTTTTTGGCAGTTATTTATATTGATTACTACGTGGTTTTTTAAATATCCCGATATATTTCAAACAATATGGAATATTCGAACCTTGCATTTACGTATTTACTTTTTAAGGATATAATTCTATCAAATTTTTGGCATAGTATTTCTCCATAATTTTTAAATTCAATATTCATTATAAGATATTATTTATTACTACAACTTAATCTCGAAATGAAACACGCATTTGAATAATTCAATTCGTGTGATTTCGTCGGCAATATTTTTTTCGGCAATTACTACTACGGATTTCATGATTTTTAATTATTTTTTATTTGTGATGATTATTTACAAAATACGAAGAAGGAAATAATTTGTGCGTTCCCTCCAAACAAAATGCCAGAATATCACCCATAATATTATAATAAAAAATTATTACATGTTCAATTAAAAAAAATTTTATAGTTTTTTTTTGTTGTAAACACAGAGCTTTTGTTATTTTAAATTAGTAACATATATGTTTGTTATTACTGAAAGTATCTTGCAGAATGATATTAGTGCTAGAGAGTTTTGTCGCAGATAGCTCGAAAAAATTCTGCCACAGGGCGTTAATGTATTTCAAGTAAACTGTTATGCTCAAAAACTTTAAGTGGTACATTTTAAATATTGCATATTTCTGATTATACGTTGAAGATTTTCTTTTACCACTTATTTTTCCTTATAAAACTGCAAATGAACAGAGAAGGTTAAAGCTTAAGAATTCTGATAGTCTGTGATTCACTTTGGCTTTTTACTAAGTTGAACTGCTGGCAGCACTAGTTCTGAGTGGTAAGTTAAAAGGTTTGAGAAGAGAGTGGGAAACAAAAGTAGGAAGAAATGAGTCAGTGGGTTTTTATTTATCAACAAAGGTAAATAAGCTGAGATGGCTGGGTAGTCCTAAAGAGAAGTTGAAAATTACCCTCAAAGATGTCATATCTTTTATTATGCCAGTTTATATGTGAATTTTTGGGAATCTTCAAAGAAGAAAGCATACTTTTAGATTATACATGAATGGGCTTATATTCTAAAATGTATGGTACTTTTATTTTATATTTCAATTTATATTTTATGGTGACAGTGACCTAATGCTTTATTATTTAAAAAAAAAAAGGTTTTTGAAATAATTAAATTAATGTAAATTATTTAGTTTTCACTAGTTAAGTTTAATAAATTTTCTGAAAAGGTAATTTTTGAATTAATTTGTTGGTTTATTGTTTTTAAGTACTTAATTAAATTTAGGTTTTCATTAATTTAATTGTGTGAGTTTTAGGTTTACAAAGTAAAGCATAAATGTTATGAGGACTTCTACATTGATGGAATATAGTGAGTTAATGAAGCATTAGTATCTTTTTGGAAACATTTTACTAACACAATACAACTTCGCTTGACACAGGCTTTTTAGACTTTTTGTATTTGAAACCTCTTTTCATACCGAAATGTTTTTACACAGTAATAGATGAAGTCATTGTATTTGCTTTTTAAATGCTAAATGAATTTATAAAGTTTAAGTAGGTAGATAATGATTTCAATAAAGTTCAAGCATTGTTATAAAATGGACACATAAAATAATAAGAAAAAACCTTAACATTAATGCTTTCCTCCACTATTGTCATATTTTAAATGTTTGAGTAATCATTTTTCGTATAATTATAAAATTAGGATAAATCATCTGAAATTTCTTGGCAAATCTAAATTCTTTACATTGCTTATTTTGGCAACTTGTTTCTTTTATTTGGTCATTTTTATGCTATTCATGAAAATATTCTCTCAACATTTGCATTGTGGTTTTGAATGGGAAACACATGTTCACACAGCTTTATAGATGACTTTTATCTTCTAAAAGATAGTCAATTCTTTTACTTTCTCAATTTTTTTTTCTGTTTTTGTATGTACAATTTTTTATATCCCCCTTCCATTTCGACAGTTAATAGTCATCTTGTTGAATGCTGAGTTTATGAAAAAATGGGACAAATTGTAATATAGAACTAAGTATGTTGTTAGTTTGGTGTATGTATACCATTTGGGTTTACTATTCATAGTTTATACTGCATTGGCCTAGATAACTATGTGCATGTGCATCTTTAGCATGAAATTGAAAAATGCTAATGAATATAATCTTCTGATTTTATTTGTTCTAAGAATAATTGGGAGTTTATAGAGTTATATCCCAAGTTCATATTCATATACATAGAATTCTGTTATGAAAAAATTAGTGTATTTAGTTTTTTTTTCATAACTCTTTTACTGTGATATTTTTCAAAACTCTTTATTTTAAGTTAATTAATCATTTAATAGGGAGCTATTAGTTATGAAGTATTTACAGCTCTTTCATGCAAGTTATTCTAATTTTAATGTTTGTTTTTGATCTTTAATTTTGATAATTAACTATAAAAATGTTTTTTTTTCTTTTATTATTGCCGATATTTTAAATATATGTTTTCTCATTGTTTGATTTTATTAGAAGTTGAATAATTTGCATTATATTCTTAATTATTTTAATTGTTTATTTTTCTCAATCACTTATAGTTAATTGCAATATTTCTGTTTTATTAGGAATCTTATTTATCATATTTGTAAATATTTTGATTTCCAAGTTATCTATGTCTTAGGTAACTCTATTATTATTCTTTTTTTTTACATAAACTTGACATTGACGTTATTGAGTTTTGGAAGCTTAATTGCCGAATTTTTCTAGAAGAAAATTTTTTAGGTGACACATAAAAAGTTAACTCGGCCTATTATTAGAGCTAAAGTGACAAAAATATAAGCAACTCGCTTTAAATTGATGTTACTTACTTTTTATAAACCTTGAATTTTTAAATTTCTTAAAAATTATTTCGAGGTAAAAGACATAAAATTAGTTCTATTGTTTGTGATTGAGTAAAAAAATATGATGCACAGGTTTGTTTACTGTACCTATAATCGCTTAAATATTTTATTTTGCCAATTTTTTTTCCTATCAATGTCCTCATTTTGGATAGTTCAAATGTTTGATTATCCAAACGTTGTATACAGTCAATTAGTTTGGGTTGCAATTTAATTTTAAGAATAGACCTTCTTGGAGCTTGTTTTTTTGCTTTGTGCCTTTATTTTATTATATTAAAATATTTTTTAAATGTTTTGAAATGGGTTCTTTGTATTATGAGAACATGTTAGATTTATTGTTTCATAAAACTTGCAAAAATGTGAGTAAAGTATTCTAACCTTAATGGATCTGATTGTTTTTATAAATTTAAAAATCTTGTTAAAAAGTAAGCATTATTTGTTGTAAAAATCACACATCTTTCAATTTTTTGGGTGCGTTCTAAATTAGAATTATTTGCTCTGAATTGGTAGAGTTTTTATCTCTGACAACCAATAAATTTCATTATCTTAAACCTACCTTTAACCTAATCATATTTTCACATTAGGGACCAACTATTTTAATGCAGTTTAGCATTAGACTAGTTATCTCAGTCAACTTTAAATTAAGTGAAACTTCATTAAAGGTATACATTTTTATACTGCATCATATGAAACAGGATATTCTTGTTTCAGAATCTTCCACTTAATTAAAAAGAAGAATTGAAAACATATTTAGAAAGTCTTGAAAATTTTGAATGTAAAAAGTAGTTTTGAAAATGAAATGAATGAGGAAAAGTAATTTTTAAAAAAAGTTATTATACACTGAGTAAACTTAACGCTATAATGCTTAGGCATTTTAACTAATTTTTTTTTTCATTTATTTCACATGGTGCTGAGTATTGAAAGTTTCAAACTTTGAGCAAAAAGTTATGGATTTATTTAAAAAATTTATGAAAACTTTTTTTCACTATGTAACAGAAATTTTTTTGTCAAATTTATTTGAAATATTATTTCTAATTTTTTTGTTTGAGCATTTTTTAATGTTTTGACTTGTTTCACAATAATGAGTGTGTTCATATTGTCATGTAAATAAAAGAGATTTTTATATTCTGTAAAAAAATTTAAACTGCCAATTTGATCTTAAAATTTTTCAAGTACAACAGTGGTTCATTTAAATATTTTTCTGAAATAGTTGCAACGAAAAATGTGAAATATTAATAAGTAATAATAGCAGAACAATAAAAAGTCAATAATAAGTTTTTTATGTATCCTGAATTTTGTTTAAAAAATATTTATTATATCAGTTTTTTAAAATAATTATCGGAAAGGTTTCTTTAGGTAAAGGATTATATACCTTTTTCATTCAAGCAGATTGTGGAAAACATATTTAGAACATTTTTAAAATAGAAAATTAATGTTTGAAAATTAGGAATTGCTACACATGTCATTAATACAGAAACTGATATTTGTTTATTAACTTTTTTAATCATACCTAATATTAAGGAAAAGGATACACATTTATACATTTTTCTACAAGAATAATTTATTAGTTTTTTCTGATGAATTAAAACTAAATTTTAATGAGCTTAAAACTTTATTAATAACACCCTTCTCTCTTTTGGAAAATATTTACCAAATTTTGTATTTTTAACTTATTAATATATCTGGTTTTAGAATTTCCTAAGATTTTAAGTAGGAAAGGCTACTAATAACTATATAACATAAGTTTGATATCTCATTGAACTAGTAAACTAAAAATCCATTTTGACTTCTATCAATTAATGTTATGGCTAAAATATATTTTTAGAAAATTTTAATCAGGGACTTTTTATTTTTAAATACTGTTGGGTTAAAAATTATTATCACTTCATCAGATTTAAATTGTTTGTATAATTTAACTGTGAACAACAGAAAAAAATTTATTACTTGGATATACGTTTTTATAACTTTTCTTTAAGAACTAAGAAGTCTAAATTTGATTCATAGAAACAACCAGGACCCTATTTTTTGACGAAATCCTTCCTTTACCATTAAAGTTTTATGTACTTTATTGTTTTACTTTACCCAAAGTGGTTAGCTGTGAGAAAAAAATTGATGTTGGTTTATTGTTTTTGGTTGAGATTCTATATTTTTATTGATGAATTGTTTTACTAAAATAGCTATTTTTTAAAAAAAAAATTGATAAAAATGTATGTAATAAACATATTATAAAACATACAACTTTTGTTTTTTAACCCTCACTTTTGCTATATCTGTAGTGAAAGTGTACAATTCTAATATAAATATGTCTGGACACTTGGAATTTTTTTTGTTTTTTTTGTTTTTTGATATAGCTAATAAATACTGTGTGATGTATTTTTTATTATTATTAAAGAATCCATTCATGTTACCACAAACCAGATCTCTAAAGTTAAAGAAATATGTTGAAATTATTCATCATATACGAATAATTAAGTTGACTTTTATATAAAGCAAAAAGTATATTAAAATATATTTTATATGCCATAAATATTTACAATAGAATTTGAATTTTTTCACAAGCTTTGTATTAATGTCAAAAATAAATAAAATACAAGACAAACGACAAATGTTTACATTAATGTGCTTTATATAAAAATATTGTCCTGTGATTTTAAGAATTATGTAAGGTTTTGTTGACAATTTTTGAAATTATTATATACGTCAAGAACTAAATTGTTTTAGACAGAAATTTGTATTGGAAAGTTGATTGTTTAAAACTGTATGATAACATTAAATTGTCAGGCTGTTTGGATATTGGTGTTAATTTATTCTGATATTATGTGAATAATCAATGTAATTTCAGGAAATATATTTGCTGTATATATGGAATTAAATGTATTTATGCAGCATGTTACAATGTTATGGTCGAAAGTACCCATGTGATTTATGAACAAAGCTTCCATCGGGCATTCATGAAAGTTTTAAATTCATGGATTTTATTTTATTAGTCTTCTATGAAAATGAAGTTTGTTGATCTAAAAATTGTGTAGATTCAATGTTTGTGATTTCGTGTCAAATTTTTGTTTTATGCCACATTGAACTAATAAATAAGTGTTTTAACACTGAAATGTAATGGTGTTTTAACACTGAAAAATTAAAATTATGTGATTCGTATAAATAAATCTTTATTTGGTCAGATTAGCTCAGTTAATTGCTGCATTTTTTAATGTTCATAGTGTTAAATGTAAAAAAATTATCTAACCATTAAAAAAGTTATTAAAAATAAAGTAATGCTGTTGCATTCTCAGATACAGAAACTTATATTTTATAGGGGCCAACTATGCTGATTCCCCATTTGTCTTTTATTTCTGAATCTATTAATGTAAAATATGCATTAATATATATATTTTTTAAATATTTTAATTCATATTTTCAATTTATTGCCACTCCCTTAGAGGCATGAGAATGAAAAATAATTTTTTTTCCTGAATCTATTCAAGCAAAATGCGCATTAATCAATGTTTTTTAGATTTTTTAATTCATATTTATTAAACAAAAGTATATAATTCTTCATTTATTTTATTCTGGTTACATCGCATTTATATTGTGTTAGAATTTAATTGAAAGTTTTAAGCTGCCTTCTTATTTTCTTAATACATCTGAAATAAAGTTAATTATACATTGAGTCTTACATAACCTAAATTTGTAAAACTTATGTCACTCTTATTTTAGTGCAATTCAACAATTGCTGTGTTTTTTTCCCTCGTATAATTGTTATTTGATAATACTGAATTTAAGACACTTAAGTCACCCCTTGAAAAAATTTATGTCTTTTTACTGACTTTTTAATAATGTTATTTATAACATTAATTATGAATTAGTTGTAAATGTAAAATTGCGATTTCACCCCAAATTATATATCAAAACATATAATTAAGTGGACAAAACTGGTGTACCGTATATAAGTTTAATCTAATGACCTGATTTAAACTGAAAAAAAATTCTTGTCATGAGGAACTAAATGATTGGTTTTTGGTAGCTATGTGTCTCACATTTTTTTTTATTAAATTAAATAGTTTCGTGATAAACTGACAGGGTTTTTGTCCTGCTACATTACTCTAAAAAATGCAGGTTAGGTAATTTACTAACTTCAATAAAGATTCGTAGATTAAAGATATTGTAGTAGTTCTGAAAGTCTATTGGATAAAAGGCATTTATCTATTAAATAAAAGTGTTAGAAACAACTTTTTCCTTATAAATATATTTATTAAAATCTCATTTTTCTAGGTAAAAGGTATTAAGTAGAAGAATATTCAGTTACATAATTAAAAATATTGTTGTAAAACAACCAGAGGATTAAAAAATAAAAAATAAATTTTTTCTAAATTTAAGGTGGAATCTATAAAAGAATTAGATTTCTTTGTCGGTGTGTATATTTTAGTAAGGTGTATGTTCTAATTAATTTTTTTTTCAATATAAATTATAAGAATAAATTGAAAGTTTAGACAAAACAAGTAAAAATTTTGGCTTTTTAATATTTTTGGAGATGAGACATTTTATGAAAATAATATAAGAAGTAAATTATTACAATGAGGAATAATGAATTCTAATCACAAAATATAATTTAAAAATTCATGAATAATTGACTAAATTGGAACTTGTTCTTTGGCTCCTTTACACATGACCTGTTGCTTTGTTCCTTTTTATGTCTTACGTTGGTAGAGATTTGTTTTGAACTTCTTCCTCTAAAAAGAAATAACAGCTATAATATTACTTATATTTTATATCCGTCGTTGAACAACCATCCCAATTTTCGGGTTTACTACTACTAATGTTGAACTGCGTATCCTTGTAATTTTTAACCAATCCAGAAGACAAGGAAACTCCTGGATTAGTACCCCCAAAGGTATGATTTGTTATGGAAACATGGAGAAATTTGTGACTCGACAGATTTAATGTGCATCAGTCACCAGTTACTATACGGGGAGTCTTCGGCCGGCAGAGATCGAGCCCATGACCTTTTGAACCTGGGCCCAGTGCCCTACCAACCAGGCTATCCTGGCCCTATATTACTCAAATTAAAATAAAGGAATATCTGATACATATTTTAGTATTTTCTTATGCTATGAAACATCTATAATCTTGGAAAAGAAATTTTCAGCCTCTTATTTATATAATTTCTGTATTTAAATTACTAAATAAAAATTATGCGTTACTTTATTCAACTTTTATACCTTATTAGCCTAAAACATTTTGGAAATGGAGCACAAAAACAAATCAACCTTCAAAAATATTTTTCTTATACATTTCTTTTATTTCAAAAAGATTTTTCTTATAAATTTTTTTTATTTCAAAAAGATTTTTCTTATACATTTTTTTTATATTATTACTAAATTTTGCATGTTTTATAGGCATTTTTTATGTTTAACTAAAAAATGTCAGAAATAACTAATAAACAAATAAACTTAATTTTATCGAGTTCTTACCTGATTTTACAACTTCTTTTGGATCATATTTCAGTATTTCTTTGTATATATTTTCTGCTTCTTTATATCTTTTTGTTTCTACGCATAAAGATGCCTAAAAGGAAACACAATACAATATTTTTAGTTGAAAACTATAGTATGAAGTTGTTTTCCAAATATTGACTCATCATTAAATACAAGTATTATTTTTTAAGCATACTGCCCCTGAAACAGGTTCTTCAAAAGTGATATCACCTTTATAGTTTGACATATCATTCAATACTTAGCATCATTCAAATATTCAAGCATAAGTTTTACATTTTAGCAGGCTGTTTTTATGGGTCAACTCAATGGCTATGGGATTACACAGAATATTGCTACCTTTGGTTTCTATTTTGTTGTTACGTTGCTTAGAAAACAAACACACTTAAACATATTTAAGATGTTTCATGATTAACTTCTATTTTTTAATAGAAAGAGATTTGTATATAAGTTTCTTCAATAACTTTGACAATTAGTAGCTGCTAATGTTGTGCTTGATATTTTGATAAATACCCAAGTTTTATTTTGTTACATCAGTGGCTTTTCTTAAATTGACAACAAACCTACATTTATTTTATTATGTTAAAAAAAATTACATTATTAAACAACCTGATTCATGAATATAATAGTAAACATGACACTTACTAGGTTATCTCTGGCTTTAATTGCATGACTATTTTCAGGACCAATAGTATTAGAAAAGATATTTAAAGCCTCCTTGTAACAATTTATTGCATCGTCTTGTTCATTTCTGTGTCGACAAATAGCTGCCAAGTTACATAACTGCTTTCCAACATCTGGATGATTTTTGCCTAAAACCTGTTCAAAGATAATATTTCTTACAGTTTTCTTTTATAATAAACTTTTATGAGATCTCTATTGTTAATTTTAAATCACAATAGTGTAAGAGGTAAGTATATGAAAGAAGTATGATGGATGAGTTGAGGTGCTCCTGTTATAATATGACTTAACTTATGAAAATTAATCCAATCAAATTTTAATGCCCTTAATCTAGCTCTAGTGTTATTTTAACAATCAAATCAAACTAATTTTAATGAATGTATTTAAAAAACTATATTATTTACAATATCTTGTATAATTTAATTTAGTTAATTAAATGGTGATAATTTAATGATATAGTACTAAATAGGTAAATTTCTTTTCTATTTTTAAACTGAACATTATTTTTAAACTTAGTACTAAATAGGTAAGTTTCTTTTCTATTTCAACATCACTTTTCTATTTTATTCTTTGCAGATAGTTCTAATGATAAGATAAGTTCTGATGAAACTGTTTTTAATTCTTTCATAATATAGATCAAAGGCAATGTTTAAAGAATACCCTATTAATAATCTTCTTACAATTTTGCGATATTTCACAGCAGTTTTGCAAAACTTTTTAGCATCTTCTGTTTTTCCAATTTTCCCATAAAGAGCACTTAAGTTATTCAATGTTGAAGCAATCTGAAAATAAAAAGATATAATTAATACTTACAGAGTTTAAATGCTTATAGAGTTTATTTCTTCTGTAAGTAATTAATACTTGTAGAGTCTATTTCTTCTGTGAGTAATTAATACTTGTAGAGTTTATTTCTTCTGTAAGTAAATATAGAAATAATGATAGTTTCTTCAATGATTATGACAAATAGTAGCTACTTGATGTTGCGTTTACTTTTTCATTTAAATTTAGGGGTTATTTTAACATAGATATATTTAAGTTATATTTAGCTCTATGTCATTCACTACTTTCTATCACACTCTACTATTTCATTCATATTTCATCTTTTACATTGGTAACTTACATTATAAGGCCTATGGCATTTTTGATTTTGCCGCCAGTTTGATCTAATTCTATTAAAATGAACTTTTGTAATTTTTCGCACAATTATATGCTTTATTTAGTCTTTGAGTGATAGTTTATAAAGAAACACTTTTTTCAATTTTTTTTTAAATTCAGCATCTGTTTTCATTTTTTTTAAATGTTTTGTTAAATTTTTTAATGAATTTAATAAAATATTTTTTATAAAAACTATTTTAGAGTAAAAAATTACATGGCTAAAAAAATATTGCAAAACAGTAGTATTAAATTGATGTGATCAATTTTAAGTAGTAAATTTAGAAAAATTAGTTTTGGGACAAATTATTGAGAATTAATGTATATGCATAAAAAATTATTTCTAAGTTTAAAGCAATTTTAGATCTATTCATTTTTTTTATTTTATTTAAATTCACTAAGTTCAATCTGAAAACAAGGTAGACTTTGTCAATTTCTTCTTCCAAAATTAACGCATTAAAACATTTTATTTTAGAACCAGTTAACCAGCTGGTACCTAATGAATTTTACATTGTTTAGTAACATAGTAATATAAAGAAAGGTTTAATAGTATCTCCTGGGCCTAATAGCTTTTAATTGCACAAATTATAAAACCTTTTCAAAATTAAGAAAGGTACAAGTATGCATAAGTATTCTAAAAAAAATATTGTAGAGCCTCTTTATAACAATGCTTTAGGATGAAATTATTATTATAGAGGGATATAGTATTTACCTTTTTTAGGCTAAGCATAGAAATGTTATAAAATCTGGTAACATTAAATGTGGTTACGTATTTTCATTGAAATATGCTTAAATTACATTCGCTAAGACACAAAAAGAGTTTCGCTCTTGAAAAATAATATTTTATTTAAGAAATAAAGTGGTGCGTATATGCACAATTGACAAAATCAATGAACAAATCATTTAGTTGAACACTAGTGTTTTTTATGAGCTTTGTTTTACTATATTTACTGAACTTCAACTTTAATCCCTCATAAAAACAAATGATTAATCTCAAATAGGATAGTTATACATTTTCAAAAAGTCGAATTTGTCAATAATGGTTTTGAATTAAAAAAACCCAGCGTAGTTTGAAAATTTCTAAGCAGAAAGTGTTTACTCAGATTGAATTATTAATTTTTTATAGATCTCTTCAGAAGCCTTAAAAATGGCAGAAAAATAAAATTAATGAAAAATATATGTCACAGTGTTAATATAAAAAAAAAATTATTGAAATGGTGTGCTTACGCACCTTTGGCTGAAAATGGGTTAAGATTGATGTACTTATGATATAAAAAGCTTTATTCTTTTTTTTTAATGTGTATACTTTACAAAATTGTATTTTTTTAAGGAAAAAAACAGCAGTATTTAAATGAAGCGAAAGCCTCATTGCGAGAATAAGATACGTTCAGATTCACTAATTATATTTAAAAATTCAATATGTTTACTAAGTTTCCTCACACCCTATTTACAACAAGAGGGCTGATTTTATGTCTCTTGGTTTTTACCTTAATCAATGCAGCGATATTATCCATAGTTAAAATTGCAATGAAATAAAAATTTCGCAATTGCAACGCTCGAATAAAGCTATCTGGGACAAATATTGGTTCCATGTATTGACCCTCCCCCTTTCCTCTCTTCCTTTTTTTTTTAGTTGTAAGGGAATGTACTACGATATTTGTTGTTGTTGTTGTTGTTTCTAATGCACTTGCCACACGGGCAAGCCTGCTTGGTGAAACCGAGTAAATTTAAGGCAGAGTGTGCGTTTCTTGTTTTTCAGTGGCGCCATCTATGGCCAAGAATTCGAATTCTGCCACACCATACGTCGCACCCGTTTATTGGGCGGACCCATTCATACATCCATTCATTCATCCACAGATCGGTCCCGCAGTGGACTGTCATTAAGACACGGTTCCCAGCAGCTACCGAATCGGGGGTGCCATCCCTTCTGCAGAGGATCAAAATTGTGATGGCATGTCTTCGGATCATCCTCAGGGATGTTTCTCAGACCGTCGCCAACAGCCCATTGTGCAACTCTAGTGCGACGTAAATGAACTGCTACTACTTCATCCACAGATCGTAATTTTGACCTGAATCAGAGAATGATCCATCTCCAATCCAGTACCCCCAGAGGTATTGACTTGTTATGGGAACATGGAGGACTTTTGCGACTGGACAGATTTAACGTACATCAGTCACTTTATTACACTGGGGAGTCTTCGGCCGGCGGGGTTCGAACTCTCGGGCATGGGCCCAGTGCCCTACCGACCAGGCTATCCCGGCATTTCCCCTTCATTGATATTCATATGATATTTTCCCCTTCAATAATATTTTTCACATGTAATTGTCAGAAATATTTTCTACAATTTCCTAGACAGTTTCTTATAGAGCTATGTTTAATTTAGTTCCATATAGTATCCTAACTTACAAGATTTTAATCTATTTGAAAATCTACAGCGAAACTAACGCACTTCCTTCACTTATGACTATCCATACGCTAATGGTGAAAACATGCAAAGTGGTGCCATAAGTTCTGCTCTGTGCCACATGCAGCCCATTTCGATCGCCTTTTTATTTTGAAAATACTAGAGCCAAAAATGAAAACTGTAAGAATGTTTAAGCTTACAAAAATATTAAAATTGAAACGTGCAATAGAATAAAATGCCTGTCACTTTCAAGGAAACCATAGCTATATTTTTTATAAGAGAAGTACTGTGGGTGACTTCAGATTTTGAGGGATCAGATTGTAATGGAAACTATACATCAACCTTCTTGAATTTAAGGAAGAGGACAAGTTCGAACACCAATAGTATACAGGGTTGATTGTGCTCCGGAAAAAATCCGGATTTCCGGATTTTTCGCTAACCTTAATCCGGAAATTCAAGGTCAAGAAGTTTCAATAAANTGTTTAAGCTTACAAAAATATTAAAATTGAAACGTGCAATAGAATAAAATGCCTGTCACTTTCAAGGAAACCATAGCTATATTTTTTATAAGAGAAGTACTGTGGGTGACTTCAGATTTTGAGGGATCAGATTGTAATGGAAACTATACATCAACCTTCTTGAATTTAAGGAAGAGGACAAGTTCGAACACCAATAGTATACAGGGTTGATTGTGCTCCGGAAAAAATCCGGATTTCCGGATTTTTCGCTAACAGTGATCAGGAAGTTTCCGGAGATCGAAGATCCAAACGTTTCAAAAATCATTGATCACAGAAGTTTCCGGAAATCAAATTTTCAAAGGTGGAGCTTAAAAACAGTTTATTTTATTTGTTTGTAAAGGAGAGCCAGGTACTTTGTAAGCTTTCATTCATGATTAATATTCATTTCTTGTCAGTAAATAGTTATTATAATCATAAACTCAAGAAAGAACGACATATTTGTAAATTTTAATTACTTCTCCAGGTCATCATAGGTATGTGTAAATGGTATAGGTATTTATAAAATTTTAAATATATATTAGGTAAACGAAGAAATATTGAGAAAAAGGAAAACAATCTTGTTTAAACTTTTTTCAATTTAAACTGTTTTTTTTTTTTTTTTTTTTTTTTTTTTTTTNTTTTTTTTTAAAAAAGCTCAGGAAATTTTCCGGAATTTTGACTTGGACTCACAATTACCCCTGAGTATATTTATAAAACAAATATAAAAAAAGGGTGACAGGTAATAAAATAGAAAATAATGTTTTTCTTCTGGGATAGAAACCTCATTGCAAAGAGAAAAAATAGTGTTTGAAGGTTAATTAACATTTGCTTTCGAGGTTTATTTCTATACACAATATCAATTAAGGGTAATTAAATCATAATCATATGCAAATTCATCATATGCAAATCATATGCAAATTAAATCATATAAATTAAATCAAATTAAATCATATGCATTAAATCATATGCAAATTCATCAGATAAAAAAAATATTGTGGTGTAGTGTATTAGTGAGAATTTACTTTAATGACAGTAGTGACAGGCAATTTCAAAATTTCTGTGCAGTAAAATAATCTGAGAAAATTGTTGATTCAATGAACACTTACGCTTAATTTATTGTCTTCAAAATGCTTAGTTTTAATATCCAAAACGTCACGTTGCATTTTTGCTGCATCTTTGTACCTTGACATTCCTCTAGAAAAGAAGGAAATTATAAAGCATTTTATTTTACATTTTGTGTTATGATATTAATGCCTTTAACTGTGATGCTTACTGTTAAAAATTTTTTTACTTCCAGAACACGGAGGAAGTAAAAAATAGCTAAACCTAACCAACTAATCTAACAGAATGTGGTTGTTGAGAATGAGAATACGTCACATCCAGAGTTGGAGAAATTTTTTTTTTTAAAGAAAAGAGAAAAACTTAATTCTTTTATTTGAACCAGGGTTTTTTTTATTTTTTTTTTTGAAGAAAAGAGAAAAACTTTATTCTTTTATTTGAACCAGATTTACTTTCTTTCTTTTTGTTTTGTTTAAACCATATTTTTTGTTGGTTTATTTAAAATTAAAAAGGGTAAACAATAATTTACGCTTTACATTAAAAGTGTTTAAACTATTATAAGGTTTAATCTCATACAACTATTAATTAATTTTATTATTAAAAAAATCCTTTTTCGTTTCATAAACGTAATAACTTGCAAAAAAGAATGGCTGAATATTTAGAATATGCTTATACATTACTTTACATTTTAACTTAACATGCAAATAGAAAGTTAATATTAAAATGTTATTATTAGTAATGCGTAAAAGAAAGAGTTCCCCTTTGTTTTTCAGTATACATGAAAAATCTCATATTTAAGAATTATTTAATGTCATTAATTAAATGTATTCAATTTACAATATTTGTATAAATTAAATTAATACAATGGAATTAATACCAACTTTAAGGATAGCATGAAAAATTTAAGGTAATATATTTTTTAATTCAGACATTGATTTGTAATAAGAAAATATGTAAAAGGATAAAAAACAACAAATTGGCTGGATACTTATGTGTACATAAAATAGCAAATGTATGTTTTACTACTAATGATAAATAAGGAATATAATACTTTTTTGTTATATTTTTAATACAATAAAGCAATATGCTTGTAATGCAGCATAAAATAATATACATTGATTAAATTTTAAATGAATTTTGAATATTTTTAAATGCTTTTTAATTATGCTTTTTTATTTAAGCATTGTGTTTTGAAAATATTAAAATCAATAAAAGCGTATTGCGCACATATAGTAGTAATTTGTTTACACTTATAACAGAAGAAAAAAAATGCAAAAATAAATATAACATTCAGAAAAGCATCTCATTTCCATTGATGGTCCCGCAGTGGACTGATCGTTAAGACAAGGTTCCCAGCAGATCACCGAAGTCAAGCATCACTGGCTGCGGTCAGTGTGCGGGTGGGTGACCATTTGGATCAGTCGGCGTAGGGACCGAGGGTGTGCGGTATTGGTCCTCGTTAAACTGTGCTACCGTAAAGTGCTCGACTTCGCGTGCAGGTAGCTGGGCTAGCGGGGGTGCCATCCCCTCTGTAGAGGATCAAAATTGTGATGGCATGTCTTCGGATCATCCTCAGGGATGTTTCCCAGACCGTCGCCAATAGCCCATTGTGCAGCTCTAGTGCGACGTAAATGAACTACAACAATAACAACATTTCCATTGATGCTTTTCATTATAGCAAGCATAATGTATTTATGCAGAACTCTCTACCTATGGTAACACTTCGCATGCTTTCACCATTAGCACGTGGAAGGAAGAAGTACTTTTTGTTTCTGTCTTAATTTTCAGACAGATTAAGATTTTTAAAGTTAGAATACTGCGTAGAACTCAAAACTGCATTAAACATAGTTCTAAAAGAAAGCTTCGTGGAAATTTTAAAAAATATTTTGAGAATTAAATATGAAAAATATTATGGAAGGGGAAAATTTTGTAGACATTCTTCGCATACAACTGAACAGAGGGAAGGGTCAAGAGGTCTTCTCTCCTGATTATTCGAGTGTTGCTATCACGAATAAATGAATTTCTTTTATGCTGTAAAACTGCGATAATAATTTTACCAATAATGGCATTACATAGTTCATAGATGTCGATTTCAAAACAACTATTCAAACGTTTTACATAATCACTATTGTCAAAAATGATTTAAAAAAAGTATACAAATACCAAGTCGCAATTAATTAATGCTGGAAGGAAACTGAAACGCTATCGAATCATTTGTGAGGAAGACGGATTAAAAACATTGAAACCAGATTGATTGTATGATTAAACTTGGTGGTTTTCCTAATAATTTGCTTCGCAATGTTTCTTCCGGTAATCAAGCAGATTTTGATGTTTTTTTATCACGCCCTTCTCTTTAGATTTTGATATCGTTTTCTTCATTTTCAATAAAAAATTTGATTTTTTTTTTCTACATTCATTTAACTTTGCATGCTCATGTACGTAAGATTTGAGCAGCGCAATTATCTCAAAATAACCTCGGTGCTCTACAGAGTTTGCGTGGAAATTGCATGTGGGATGGTTTGTGAGGAAACGGAATTTCTATTCTAATTACGATGGCTCAGGGGATAGAGCGCTCGCCCTCCAATGAGATGAACCAGGTTCGAATCCCAGCGATGACTGGTCGATACGAATTCCGCATCCGGCTTGTACCGACCACAGTGTGACGTGAAATATCCTCAGTAGTAGACGGATCATGGGTTAGAGTCCCCGTGCCGTCAGGCTAACCGTGAGAGGTTCTCGCGGTCTTCCTCTCCGTGTAACGCAAATGCGGGTTAATTCCATCAAAAAAGTCCTCTGCGAATGCAAATTCCCCCCCCCCTAATTGATCCAGGAGTTCCCTTGTCTTCTGGATTGGGTTCAAAATTACAAGGCTACGTAGTTGAACATTATTAGTCATAAACACAAAAAATTGGGTCGGCTGTTCAACGACGGTTATGAAATAAAATACTAATTTACGACGCCTGATGTGCACGCTTTTTTGACGAAGATTTTTAAAATATGCATGAAGGGTGTTCATGACGTTCAACATCTTATATTTATTTGAATAGTATTTCAATAAATTAGAAAATAAAAATGGGACTTTTTATTTTTTTGGAATTTATTAATTTGCTTCTCATGATCTTTAAATATTTGATTATTTCAAACTACTAATAATAGTGGCACAAACATTCTTACTTTAATACCAGCGGTAAAAAAAAAAGAAACGTTCACTAATAATGTTCATAACTTACCTGTAAACTAAAGTAATAATGTCCATCATTGAAATAACATCTGGATGCGCTGGACCGCATTTTTCTTGCAAATCTTGAAGTGTTGTTTTGCACAACGGAGCTGCAATTTCGTATGAGCCTTTCGTAATGTAACCCATTACAAGATTAAAAAATATTTTTAGTCTTGGATTGCTGGAGAGATCTATTTCTGACAAACAAGGCAAATTTGGAAAAGAACCTGAGTAGAAAAAAATTTAGATCAAAGATTATTAAAAAATAAAGATTAAGAGATTTATATTAACACTTTGCGGTACACTATATTAACACTTGCAAGCGGTGGCAGACGCAGCCTAAATGTTATTTCAGTGTCAGCCATCGGTGGCTGACACTGGACTTTCCATTTAGGCTGCGTCAACCACCGGTGGCTGACACTGAAATTACATTTAGGCTGCGTCAACCACCGGTGGCTGACACTGAAATAACAATTAGGCTGCGTCTGCCACCGCTTGCTGACACTGACCTTTCACATAGGCCGCGAAAAACAGCTGGATTGCAGAAAATTTATTCAAAATTTACTTAATTATTGTGATTCTTGGTTTAATAAATTCAATTTCGTAGATTTTTATCCACCACTATTTTTAAACTATTCGTAGTCTTATATAATTCACCACTTTTTCATATATGCTATGCTAAACTTTTTAAAACTAGCAAAATCTGTCTAATATTTGCAATTTTAGTTTGTAGTTAATTTTAGTTTGGCCAGACGGGTAAGCCATGTAAAATTAACGTGGCGTTCAACGTGTTTAAAAAGTTTAACTGATTTATATTAAGAAGAAAACATTTCATTTAATAGATATGTTAGAATACTGAAGAAGAAAAAAAGTAAAGAAAACAAAGTTAGTTTTGAAAATAGTGAATATGAAATTTTATGGTAGTCGAATAGGTTATAAGGTATAAAAAAATTTAACGTAATCTTAGACTAAATAATTTAAGGGATAAACTCAAAAAATTGAAGAAAAAAAAGTCATTAAATATTTTATTCAGAAATAAAATTTAAACGTATGATTTTTTAAAAAAAAATTTCTGAGAAAGTATTCAACTGATTTTGTTTAAATTTTAGATTCTGTAACTTAAAGCATTCGGTCATGTGAAGGTATTTTTAAATGTTATTATAATATTTTAATCATTAATTGAAATTTTGACTAACCGGTAAAAGTAGCTATTGGGTGTCCCAAAAATTCAGACGATTTTACAAATCGGTTAAAGAAAAGCGGGAAGGGGATACAAATATGTGGTTTGCTGTGTTCTGCTTAGGAAACGAGAAACTTTTCATTAGGTTTCAACTAAGATAAAATACATGACTTGAATGGGGTGGAACTTTTTAACTGTTTCGTTTTCTTTGCAATTATTTGCCTCTAGTTTTGTTGTTATTCGAAATCAGGAAAAAGATTCAACCTGCTGTGTTATGTAACAATCCTTGATTGGAGAGAAACAAGAATTGTTCAAACTCGGTATTTGTTTATATTTTGATTAAAAGGTGAGGCAAATATTTACGTTTTGGCTGTAAGCTCGGTTAACAGTTAACTTTACTACGTAATAAAGTAAAAAAAACGACTAGTTGTCCATTAGCAGACTTTTGTGCTAATATTTCAGTTGAAACGGTCTGACAAACAGCAGAGAATATCGCTCTACAGTTTTCAATTCATTAGCATCATCTGTTAAAGAATTTTGTTGCCAAATTTAAAACTTAATGCCAATACATTATTCAGTTTCCAAAGTAGAACAAGGGTTGGCTTTTTGCCGGCAGAAACTGGTTTTTGCTATGCCAGTGGCAGAAACTGGTTATAACCGGTAAAAACCGGCAGAAACTAAAAAACGTCTATATTAGTTCTAGTAATTGCTTAATGAGACTTTGTTTACATACAGATTTAAACAGGCTGTCACTGATTATCATTTGCTAGCTTATATGCTGCATCCAAAGTATTTGGGATTGAAATTATCATGTGCTCAAGAAGAAAGTGCCAGAATTTTACTCGCCAATATTAACCCAGATTTTGTACCTTATGTCCTAGCTTTGCAAAACAAATCGGCCCCATTTCCTGAAACTTATTTTTCCAGTCAAGTTTTGACAACTACCCCAGCTGCTACATGGTGGTCCAGTTTTAAAAAATATGCAATAGATGAAAGTTTCACAAATCTTGCTTGTTCCTTGATGGCAATGCCTGCTAGTTCTGCTGGACTTGAGAGAATCTTCTCAAATTTCTCGTTCGTGCATAGCAAATTGAGAAATTGTTTAGGTTTAGAAACTGCATCAAAACTTGTCTTTTGTTATAGATTACTGCAGAGTGCAAACAATGTAATATTTGATTTTGAATGGTGATAATTTTGTAAATAAATTGTACTTTGTTTAACATTTAATTGTTTTTCCTATGAATTACCCATTGTATGTCAATCTCAGTACTTACTTTTATGTCATTTTCTAAATTTCTGCCAGTTTCTGCCACAAATGTGGCAGAAAAGGGTTTCTGCCATGCTAGTTTTAACCGGTTTCTTACCAGTGGTTTTAACCACCTCGGCAGAAACTTGACAACCTTGAGTAGAACACAGTAAAACAGTACATTTATACCTTTTCCCCTTTTCCTATAACTGATTTTTTAAATCGGCCGACCAGTCTGTGTAGGGGGCAGGGAACTGTCCTTGCATCAGAAAGGNCATTTAATTGTTTTTCCTATGAATTACCCATTGTATGTCAATCTCAGTACGTACTTTTATGTCATTTTCTAAATTTCTGCTAGTTTCTGCCACAAATGTGGCAGAAAAGGGTTTCTGCCATGCTAGTTTTAACCAGTTTCTACCAGTGGTTTTAACCACCTCGGCAGAAACTTGCCAACCTTGAGCAGAACACAGTAAAACAGTACATTTATACCTTTTCTCCTTTTCCTATAACTGATTTTTTAAATCGTCAGTCATATTTTGGACATATAAATAACTATTGTGTTCGTATACGTGTCTAGTATCGACGCATTTTGACGAAATGTTTGTTTATTACATAATTTTTACTTACAACTAGTTTCTTCCATTTCTTTTTCATCAATAAAACTTAAATCTAAAGATTCAGCTCCGTCTGATGTGTCATCTATGATTGGCTGTCAAAAAGTTATATGCTAGTTACAACAAGGAAGTAAGTAATTGTCCATACATACATAAGAACAATAATTATTAAGCTGCATTAATTATTGTTTTATTAATTTTGGAGTAATAGCATTGGGATGATTACCACCTTGGGGGTTTGACTTCTTCAAGTAAATACGCGTCCCATTACCCTAAAGTGCCCTAAAAGCTTATTTCTGTTGCAGGCTTAGTTTATAGCACCATTTTAGTCTAGATTACATAATAGTACACGTTGAACGTGACTTTGTAAAAAAACTTTCTTTTTAATAATTTTTTCTGCTTGTTTAAAGTAGTACACATATAACATATATTGCATACATTACAAATTCTTCATTGACATTTGCATTTATTGCATATATTATATTTGATAGTTACGTATACGCTCAAATATTTTTATTTCTATGAATTTAAATCTTTTTTAGAAGACTTCAAAGTTGCCGATGTATAATCGGAAACGACTATTAAAGATGGTCCCTTTAAGCTTGGGGCATATGGTGGTTATTTAATTGCATTTTTATACTCTTTTTTTTATGTGTTACAAAAAAATAAAAAGTTATTATTTTCCCTATTTTTGATATATAAATATTGTGTGACTTATTGGGGTAGTTAGACCATTTTGTTTCTTTCCTCTTCCTATCATTAGTTTCTCTCTCGAACTCTTCTTTTCTTTTTTAAAAATAATGGAAAAAGCAAGTAAGCATTTTAACTTCCCATTTCTTTAAAAAAAAATAATTGATAAATTTACGTGGGATTCGTATTGACCAGCCATCGCTGAGATTCGAACCCGGCTCACCTCATTGGGAGGTGAAATGAAAGCAACTCACATTAAATGCATTTCACATATTCAATGTATTCAAATTCAGGGTTGCCACAGGCAACAAAAATGCAACTATTTTCAGCATGAGGCGACTATGCAACTTTTTTTGCCTGAAAAGGCTAAAAAAGCAACTATTTTCAGGAAAAGGAGACTTTTCTGTACTCCTAGCAATGTTTTTTTTTAGCATAAATTGGGTAGAAAACATGCAGCCCGTGAAATCTTCTNCTACTATTTTCAGCATGAGGCGACTATGCAACTTTTTTTGCCTGAAAAGGCTAAAAAAGCAACTATTTTCAGAAAAAGGAGACTTTTCTGTACTCCTAGCAATGTTTTTTTTTTAGCATAAATTGGGTTGAAAACCTGCAGCCCGTGAAATCTTCTAAATACACTGAATTTCTTTCTTTGAAAAATAAAAATAATGAAATTTTAAAAAATTAAATAAATAATTAAAACATTAAAAAATAGAAAATTTTAGATTGCAGATTTGAGTCATCACTTTTTAATGCGTTCAATTTGCACAGATTCTGTCGTAAGTCTATTTCGTTTCTCGATCGCCTTTTCAACGGTTATTGCTACGAAATTCTGCATGATTTTTAAAAAACCCAATTTTTAATTCGATAAATATGGTNTTTTCTTTTTTTTTTTAATAAAATGTTGTTTGTTATTTTTTTACTTATTATTTCCCACCCCCTTTTTTTCATATGTCTATAATTTTTCTTTGTTTTATTCTTCATTAGAAAAAGTGTGTTTTTTTAATAAAAAAGTATTTTTTGAATAAATTCTAGTTATTAAAAGTATTTAATTTTCTGCAAATATACAAATTTTTTTTTAAAATAAAATTTTAGAGCTAGCACACTAACGTGTATATAAAAATTATCATATTTGCCACCAACTTGACTAAATGGATCATGATATACGACAATTAAGTCATTTAATAAAATTTTAGTCTTATTTTTGCTGAATTTTTGTAGTTTTCGGCAACTATTTTCATGCTTTAGGCTACTAAAAGCAACTATTTTGTTCAATTTTATTCTGTGGCAGCCCTGAAATTGTGAAGGTCTTGGCCCCTCACATGTTGGGCTCATGCCGCGAATGCCCTCCAATCAATCAGTTCCTGAATGCATGTACCCATAACAGTAAGTATTCTGAGAAATTTTTATATCAGAATGAAATTTCATTAAGCAATACTTTATATTGATATGCTGTTCCCCCTTTTTATGCGTATGAAAGAGGGTAAAAGAGACCCAAATTTTTACTCGACTGGCAAACCTTTAAAATATAACTACTATTGTTTTTCATATTTTTTTATAAAACAAAAAAATCATCCTCATTTGTTGCAAGGAATATAAACAGAGTATAAAATAATATTTCTCACCTCTTCTGTTAACAAAGAGTTCATAAAGTTCAATTGTTCTATTTCCACTTCTAAAGTAATGGATTGTTCTTCGCTTTCTACAAGTTTTCGCTGAGCAAGTGATAAATCCTGACGTAAAGAATTATTTTCTGATTTTAGAGATTTAATATTATCCTTCATAGATTTGATTTCTAATTCTGCTTCATTTACTTCAGTTTCTATATTTTCTACAATGTTATTCAGCATTAAGAATATCTGAAAAGTAAAAATAGAGCAGAAAATTTATGTTATTTTTTAAAAATTTAATTGCGTAATAAATTTTTTTTATCATATTATAAAAATTATGTTGCACGAAATGCACGAATTTAAAAACATTATATATAACAGGGTTTGTGAGGAACACATCATCAAGATTAAAACTGCATTGGAACCCATGCTGAAAATATCGCCGAAAGAGGCTAGGGACGCTTCCTTTATATGACCTGCTGCCACTAGCGACGTTTGACGACCTTTCCGGGCATTTTTTTTTTCAATTTTAATTCTGAGGATGTGCCCTAACACCCCTGAAAGTTTGTCGCAGCATTTATGCGACCCCTTGTTGTTTATAACGTTTTTAAACTTGTACATTTCGACAAAAAAAATAGACTAAAAATGTCATTAAGAAAGTAGTTTGGAGAAAGAAACCGGTTGCAGATTTGAAATCAGTGATCAGCAAAGACATAGGTGAAGAAGGCTAGCTTCCGTGGTCATAATGTAAACCAGTCCCCAAAGGTTCAGTGCGGTCCCTGTGTATAAAGAAAAAAAAATATTTAAGAGAACGCAGTTGAAGTTCTTGAAACGGGTTTTCCCCCTCCTCTCCTTCCAAACACTACTGGGGTTGGGGAGAAGACGAAAAGTTTTCTCTTTTATTTATTTTCGGTTTGTTCTGCAATTTTACACCATTGATAAATGGTTCCTGTATTGTTAATAAAGATATTACTCTGAGAATACATTTATACCATCCATGTTAATTAAATCTGCTAACACAGTATTTTGGCATAAAAAGAAAGACTAAAATGGTGGGAGGTCGCTCACCCAAATATACATGTAAGAGTTGCCCAACAACCGGTTCACAAGTGACGTACTTCCTGGCAGTCACTTTGCTTCCTATGCGCATGCGCTGGATCTGATGCATGATGCTCTGTTGTTGTTGACGTATGCCTGTTTAGGCAGAAGGGGTGCGATTGTTCTTGTTTTCCAGTGGCGCCGTCTATGGCCAAGAATTTGACTTCTGTCACACCATACGTCACACCCGTTTATAGGGCGAACCCATTCATACATCCATTCATTCATCCACAGATCGTAATTTTGACCTGGATCAGAGAACGATCAATCTCCAATCCAGTACCCCCAGAGGTATTGATTTGTTATGGGAACATGGAGGACTTCTGTGACTCGGCAGATTTAACGTTCATCAGCCACTTTACATCAGCCACTTCTTCGGCCAGGAGGGGTTCGAACCCATGAACTGTCGGACATGGGCCCAGTGCCCCACCGACCAGGCTATCCCGGCCCATGATGCTCTGTTAAATCTGAGTATGTTGCTCACTATGTTAGTTGTTTTTCTGATATAGTGTAACGAACCGAGAAATTTCCAGCGTTAGTTACGTGTTCTAAAGATCTGTAAAAAAAATCTCCTGCAACAGAAATTTTTTCCCCAGTGTAATCCTCTATGTATAATAAAGGGGATTGCAAACGTTTAATTATAAAATTTAGGATTCTATAGCCATCGTTAAACAGCAGACCCAATTTATGGTTTACAACTACCGATGTTCAACTCCATAGCCTCGTCATTTTGAATCCGATCCAGAAGACAGGGAACTTCTGGATCAAGTATTTTGAGAAATTAACCTTCGTGGAGGACTTTTTGAAGGAACTAACCCGCATTTGCGTTACATGGAGGGGAAAATCAGGAAAACCTTCCACGGTTAACCTGACGGCAAAGGGACTCTAACCCATTATCCGTCTACCATTGAGAATATTTTATGTCAGTACTGTGGTCAGTGCAAGTCGGGTGCGGAATTCGAATCTACCAGCCATCGCTAGGATTCGAACCTGATGCACCTCATTGGGAAGCGAGAGCTCTATACCCTAAGCCACCACGGTTCCAAAATTTAGGACTTTAAAATTACGTTACCTAATTAAAAATTGATCTTAACCAAGGAAAACCTTTAATTTTAGTGAATGAGAACAGATGGAACGCTGCCTTTCTATTTTTTATTAACTAGAGTAACTTTGAATCTGTTTTCTACCAACAAGCTCAGAAAATTGAATGAAGTGTCAACGAAATTCAGCCACGACTATGCGAAGTGGTCATTAAAAATTTCGACAAAAAAATGCGCGTGTGTTAGTAAAATCTCCTCATATTGCCCAATATGTTATTCCATACATATTTCTTACTGTATACTTAATAAATGAATAAAAAATTAACAATTTTTATAAAAAAATCTGTAATTTTTATCAAATCTACTTTTTACATAAATTTTGGAATATACTGCTAAAGTTAAACTAAATAATAAATTTATCTTTTATTTTATGGCCCCCGAGATAGCCAGGTTGGCAGGGTGCTGGATGAGAACGGCAGTTTGAAACCAGTAGGCCGAAGACTTCCCGTGTAGTAAATGGTGACTAGTGTACGTTAAATCTGTCGGTCACATAGTCATCCATGTTCCATAACAAATCAATACCTCTAGGGGTACTGAATTGGAGATTAATCGTTCGCTGGTTCAGGTTAAAATTGCGATCTGTGGACGAATGAATGGATGTATGAATGGGTCCTGCATTAAAAAGAGTGTGATGTGTGGGTGAGGCCATAGATGGCGCCACTGGAAAACAAGAACAAGTGCATCCCCTGTGCCTTAATGACAGACGACAGCAACAACATCTTCTATTTTATGATAAATATTTGGAAATTAAATTTGAATTATTAGTTATTAATGAAACTTGCATTCTAAATAATTATTTCTCTTACCTGTGAATCAGCTAGTCCTCGCTCAATTGCAACTAAATTCTTCTTTAAAACATCAACTTTTTGTTGAATTAATGAATTTTTATCATCACCATTCTCACTTAAAGTTGGCAATTGTTCTAAGAGTTGGTTTAAAATTTTCTTGTACTCATCGTGTAAGTTTTCGAGATATTCCATGGATTGCTTAGTTTCCGCAACAATTTTGCTCCTTTCTATTGAAGGTTGCGTGACCTCTGCATTCCTAGAGAGGAAAAGTATAAATATTTAATTCAAAGCTCTAATTATTAATACTTTTCAGTTTAAATTTTGAACACAAGAATGAAAAATAATTCAGTACCTTGGTTGATTATTTAGTAGTTTAATGAAATTTGAGACAGTTAAAAATACAGTGGAATTTATCTATAACGGAATCGATTGGTTCCAGTTGAAAAATTCGCTATCGAGAAAATTTCGTTATACAGAGTTTAAAGAATTTTGCAGTTATTTAAGCAATAAAATTTTTAATAGATGTTGTAAGTTTAAAAATATATAATTATGTCTTTTAATAAAAAATAAAGTAATAAGAGGAGTATTCGATACTAAAATATATAATTTTTACTCTAAGTACTATAGTACTTAGATTTGAATTGTTATGTATTATTGATGAATGAATAATACAAGTAGTGCCAGAAACAGATAATTTACGAATAAGAGTGTACAAAAATACGAAATGATTGCCCAGAAATTCAAACTAAAATTGACGAAAATCGAAATTCAATTGAATTTCAGAATTGACGAAAATCGAATTCTGGAATTGACGAAAATCGAAATTCAATCAAATTCCAGAATTGACGAAAATCGAAATTCAATTGAATTCCAGAATTGACGAAAATCGAAATTCAATCGAATTCCAGAATTTACGAAAATCGAATATCAATCGAATTCCAGAATTGACGAAAATCGAAAAGACAAATATCTGAAAAATTCCAAAAATGATGAAAATAGAAATAACATGTGTCTGAAAAAACTGTCATATGTTGACAACCACTTTATAAAAAATGTGAGTTTTGCATGCATATTAATCTTCAGTTTTAAAATTCATATAAATATCATTACAATAAATATATTTTTGTAAATTGAATTTTAAAATACTTTATTTTACTTTAAACAACTCTGTATTTTTGGGGCAGCTATTTTTTCTAACTCATCGTTCTTATTTCCTTTCTTGAAAGTAGTTTAGATGTAGGAAGAAATATTAGTCATAAAAGTCAAGTAGAAAGATAGTATACGAGAAAGTCATGTACCAAATCAAATAAAGAAAGAGAAACTAAGTCATTAACGTGGAAATACATACCAATGTGTTGCTTTTTTCCCTTTCCATTTGAATAGACGCATCTTGGCCCCAGAAAACATAACAATTCGATCTATATTATCATTACAGATCACCTGCAAGAATAATGGAACATTTAAAAAGCAAAATACTACAATTGTCCTCAAAATCCGTCAAGAACAAGAAATATCCGCTCTATTACTCAATCGTATTTTCGTTCCAAGAAAAATGAATTTTTACAAAACAATTCGAGGGATAAAAAAGGCAAACGATATTTAAAATTAAAAAAAAAGAGTTGATATTGTCTGCAAAGAGAAAAAAAAATGCTAAGAATGAAGGTTAACTGCATTTTTAACCTCGTTCAAACAAATTAAAATCAGTATTTCACATCATTTTTGTAAAAAAATTCTTTTTTTAATTAAAAAGTAGTTTGAGTTGCTTTTTTCTGCCTTTTAGTTTACTTTTTTTTATATTTTGAGTTTTTTTAAAAAAAAATTTTTTATTTTATAGTTTTGTTTAATTATCAATGTTGATAATTGTTTTCTTATGGATGAATTAAAATTTAAATAAGATTAGATCACAGATTTCCGTATTATTATTTTGAGAAATGTTCGAAAATAGTTTAACGTATAAATTTCTTCGAATCTGTGCAATTCTATTAAAATCATTACTTGGGAATTAGTGCAGTTTCCACTTACGATGGTGATATTATATCATTAATATTAAAGGAGTACATTATTGTATACATATGTAAATTAGAATGAAATTCTAATTTAATTAGAATGAAACTTAGAAATTTTTTGCATTGATGTGAATATGGATGGAATAAGCTTTCGCAGACTTGAAATTGGTGTTTTGTTTACGAATACTAGTTTTTTTAGTCAACAGCTCCATTTTTTTTGGCAAACTGTGCTACTAAGTTTGAAATTTGGTGTGAATGTATAATTGGCTTATTATACTGAATGTAGCAAACTGTGTTCTTTTCCTTCTGATGTTTTAAAAGAATTTTGAAATCGTCTGTTTTTTTGGAATCGTCTGTTTTTTCTTGTTTTTTTTTTTTTGGAATCGTCTGTTTTTTTTTGTTTCATAAAACTTATTTGCTTACCATTTAATAACTTTGGTTACTCATCTTGTGCAACAAATCTAAACTTTCATCTCTGAATTTATTTTGGATGTTCTCTTCTTCTATCTAAAATATTAAAAAAATTATTATTAATAAATAAAATATTAACTATATGAGGTAACTACTCAAGCCTTGCTCTGCTCTCCTTATTTTACGAAACAAAAAAGTGCGGTTTCTAAGCTAAGAAGATGTTTAAATAATCTGAAAAAGGCATTTTTTACTCTATTTTTTCAGTCTGTCAATTGAAAAAAAAATTTTTTTTCCTTATTTTTCAATGTCACCAAGAAAATAAACACGTTCAAAATGACAATATGAAACTCGAACGGTGCACAAAAAACGGCTTATATCTAAGATTTTTTTAATGCACGTTTATGTATGTTTTTAATGTATGTTTTCTCAGTTTTCAACCGATTTCGTTCAAATTTTGTGCTTTGCCACAAGGGGGTAGACGGAGCAGGAGTAATGTTTACGTAAGATACTAAGATCCTTTTATTCTCATTTTGTTTTAAATTACAAAAAAACGTAACAGAGAAGATTGGAAAAAATTACACTTGGAATAAATTGATATTTTTTTTCAAGGAATTTCAGATGTCAAGAATTTAAACTACAGAATGAAAGTATGAAAGATTCCTAAAGAATATTTTTCTCAACTTTTCATAAAATGAATTTTTTTTACATTAAAATGAAATATATTTTTTTGTGAAAAGTTAAGTTTTTATATTTGATTAAATCCACATATGAGATATCTATATTTTATAGCCGTTATTGAACAACCGACCCAATATTTGAGTTTACGACTACCAATGTGCAACTCCGTAGCCGTGTAGTTTTGAACCCAATCCAAAAGACAAGGGAACTCTTGGATAAAGCTATGGGAGAAATTGTCTTCGTGGCGAACTTTTTGATAGAACTAACCCGCATTTGCATTACATGGAGAGGAAAACCACGAAAACTTCCCATGGTTCGGCAAGGAGACTCTAACCCATGATCCGGCTACCTTTGAGGATAGTTCTACGTCAGCACTGTGGTCGGTGCGAGGTGGGTGCGGAATTTGTTTCAACCAGACATATCTGGGATTCAAACCCAGATCACCTAATTGGGAGGCAAGAGCTCGATACTCTGAACCAGAACAGCTTATGAGAAATCTATATTTTATTTTATAACCGTCGTTGAACAGCTGACCCATTTTTGGGTTTACGACTACTAATGTTCAACTCCGTAGCTTTGCTACTTTGAACCCAATCCAGAAAACAAGAAAACTCCTGGATCAAGTATTGGAAGAAATTTTACCTTCGTGGAGGACTTTTTGATGAAACTAACTCACATTTGCGTTAGATGGAGAGGTAAACCACGAAAACCTCCTACGTTTATCCTGACGGCACGGGGACCCATGATCCGTCTACCATTGAGGATATTTTACGTCAGCACTGTCGTCGATGCAAGCCGGGTGCGGGATTCGTATCGAGCAGTCATCGCTGAAATTCGAACCTGGTTCACCTCATTGGAAGATGAACGCTCTATCCCCTGAGCCACCATGAGATATGTATATTTAATATTTTATAACCGTTGTTGAACAGTCGACCCAATATTGGGTTTACGACTACTAATGTTCAACTCCATAACCTTGTAATTTTGAACCAATCCAGAAGACAAGGAAACTCTTTGATCAGTGCCCCCAGAGGTATGATTTATTATGGGAACATGGAAGACTTTGTAACTCGACAGATTTAACGTGCATCAGTCCCCATAATGGGATATGTATTGTAAAAGTTTAAGCTAAAGGCAAGGCTGGGGTAATTTGACTATACCACGTTTGCATGGCTCTTGTAATTTGCTTATTTTAGAAAGCCGCATTAATTTGCTTATATTGGCTGATAACAGATAGGGGCCGGCTAAATTGTCAAAACATGTTTATACGTAATATTTAAATTAACTCATAGATCTTAATAGCCTCAACCTGCGTTAACAAAATACGACATATTAAATCGAGTCATCTTACTACGATTGTTACCTAAAATTCAAGATTAAGGAAGCATAAATAAAAAGGATATTAGAATGAGAAAAGGATTAAATACAGTGAAAAAAGGAGTTGAAGACCTATGATAAAGAAGCAAACTATGTAGTCAAATAATCAAAACAAAAACCTCGATAAGAAATGTTCATGAACTTTATGGTATGGGTGATGTTCAACGATGCATAAAATTCACGTCATCTGTTGTTATCAGGTAATGACTCACTTGAACCCATGTCCCTGTCATCCTTTTTCTTCTTCTTTTTATTCGTTATTAAACAAGAAGAGTTAAATTCAGGATCTTGGAGCCAGTTTGTGATAAGGCCCCTGAACACATTGAACGCCACACTAATTTTACATGGCTTGCCCATCTGTCCACGGTAAATAACTACAAACTAAATTTGCAAATATTAGACGGATTTTGCTATTTTTAGAAGGTTTATCATGACATATCTGACAAAAGTGGTGAATTATATAAGCCTACGAATAATGTAGAAATAGTGGTGGATAAAAATCTACTAAATTGAATTTATTAAACCAAGAATCACAATAATTAAGTAAATTTTGAATAAATTTTCTGCAATTCCATAAAAGAGTGTAAATTTTTGCGGCCTAAGTGAAAGGCAGGGACAGATTCTAGCCTAGGCCCAATAGGCATGAGCCTAGGGTCCACAATTTCTGAGGGGCCTCAAAAATTAGCAAAAACTCTAATTAAAGGTGGTCTAGCTATGTATGTGTTGATTTAAGTACTAAATAAAAAATACTTACAGTTTACAATAAAAACAATTCAGCTAATCAGTGACTTTAAGCAAAAATCACTGATTTCAATTGTTTGTGGTCACCAAACTGTTTTTCATTCTGACATAACATTTTCTTAGAAAAATAATCTTCAATTGTCTGCTTTTAAAATTTCTTAGAATGTTTCTCTTGCATCATGCAGTTTAATACATTCTTTTTCATTATTAGGACTACTCTTCAGTAATTTAATTTCAAAGTATTTTGTAAGGGGCCCAGAAAATTCGGTGGGCCTTGGGCCTGACTTTGTCTTGATCGGTCCCTGGTGAAAGGTCAGTGTCAGCAATCGGTGGCAGACGCAGCCTAAATGTAATTTCAGTGTCAGCCACCAGTGGTTGACGCGGCCTAAATGTAATTTCAGTGTCAGACACCGGTGGCTGACGCGGCGCTCAACGTGTTAAATTTTACGAATGATTTTTTCTCCTTCCTTTCTGAAAAGGACGCTATAACGAGGGAGATACTTTTCAATTCAAAATCTCTAACACTTCCATTGGTATTTTAAAGTTTGGAGAAAAATAAGTTCAGTTAAAACCTCGAGTAAACAATAAAATTTTAATTCCAGAAACTTTTTTTTCAAAATTTCAGAAAAATAAATAATTTCCCGATTGCGTAATTCTAAGCAATCCTTCCATAATTTGATTGCATCTTGATGTTTTTAAACTTTTTTTTCAGCATCCGAAACTATATGGTTTACACTAAGCTTACCTGAATTCACTTTTTCTGTTATTTAAAATTTTAATTATTTGTGCTAGGGCCGGGGTAGCCTGGCTGGTAGGGTACTGGACTTCAGTTCGTAAGAACGGGAGTTCGAATTCAGCCAGCCGAAGACTCCCCGTCTAGTAAATAGTGACTGGTGCGCGTTAAAACTGTTAGGTCACAAAGTCCTCCATTCTCCCATTGCAAATTATACATCTGGGGTTACTGGATCGGAGATTGATCGTTCTCTTCGTCAAAGTTACGATCTGTGGATGTATGAATGGGTTCTCCCTATAAACGGGTGTGATGAATGGGTGTGGCAGAAGTCGAATTTTTAGTCATAGATGGTGCCACTGGAAAACAAGAACAATCGCACCCCGACTGCCCTAATAGCTTAGTCAGCAACAACAACAATTACTTGTGTAGATGAAAGAGAATTTGCAATGAAAAGTTTCTCCCATAGTATAGTGTCTGTTGCAAAATGGTTCAGTCTAGAATGGTGCAATGAATAAAAAAGCCGTATTTAATAACAATGAAATTTAATCACGTGAGGAATAAAACAAACACATATGGTGCTGTAATTAATATTTTTTTTTTCTATTTTTTCACCGGCGTTTAACAGCCGACCAATTTCGGTTTTATGACTATCAATGTTCAATTCCGCATCTTTGACCCCAACCCAGAAGAAAAGGGAACTGCTGGATCAAACATTGGGCCAAACTGACTTTTAAATGGAGCTAACCCGCATTTGTGTTACATGGAAAGTAAAGCCACGAAATCCTCCCACGCTTAGCCCGACGGCTAGGGCATTCTAACTCAGGATCCGACTACCACTGAGGATATTTTACGTCAGTACTATGGTTCTTGCGAACCTAGCACAGATTTCGTATCGATCATTCTCCGCTGGAATTCGAACCTTAGACTTCTCCATTAATTTCCCAATAAGCCTTCCATTACAATCCATAGGCCACGACTCAAGCGCTAAATAATCATAATCATTATGTATGATCACAGCGCCCTCTATTGGTATGAAAAAAATTCGCAACAGTATCCTTTTAAAAGGCCTCTTTTCAACCCGACTAAACTTAACTGTTAAAGAGGAGTAAATGAGGAGTGCTAATTCTAAAAATGCTTTGAATAAATTTTGTTTAATTTTCTCAAAATCTTTATTATACTCCCCAGTATATTGCTAATGAAGAAAAATACAAGGTTGTTGTCCAGTTAGCGTAGGTTAAATAAAGCTAGCGTTGTTCTGGAATTTAACTAAAATTATACTAATAAAAATTCTGCAACTTAACTGTCAAAGAGGAGTAAATGGGGAATGCTAATTCTAAAAATACTTTAAATAAATTTTGCTTAATTTTCTCAAAATTTTTATTATACTCCCCAGTATCTTGCTAATAAAGCAAAATACAAGGTTGTTGTCCTGTTAGCGTAAGTTAAATAAAGCTAGCGTTGTTCTGGAATTTAACTAAAATTATACGAATAAAATTCTGCAATCAATTCTGCTATATTTTGTAAGGTATTTTAATATTATACATTCCTCTATTTTGAGAGTTAAGATAAAAATCTTAGTTTTTGCGTAATTTACACAAGGGAAACTTTTCAGCGTTATACAATTATGTTCTGCGCTTTTTTTTTTTATAATTAATTTTCGACTCTTCAAACACACACTTTTTTGACTTATGTTTTCCAAAAAGATATGTTAAAAGTGGTGATTATGGAACATCGTTTTTTTTTTTTAGTTTATTTCTTGGAAGAATATCTGAAATTTATATTTATAATAAAAAATATTGATCAATACGATGAGAAGGAAAAGAACTGATAAATCATTTAAACAATTACACTGGGGAGCAAATCTTTGGTTGAATTTATACAAATACTTGATCTTGCCTAATACAGGTGTGGAGACATCAAATCTGAAATTTTTGACCTAAGGCTACTGATTTTTTAATGATATTTTTAATCCATTTATCGTTGAAAAATACAGGTTTAAAATTTTTCATATGAAACAAGGGGTTGCGTGAATGTACCTAATGTAAACAAACTTCTAGGGGAGTTAAAGCACATCATCAAGGTTAAAATTGCATAGAATACAATGCCCAGAAATGCCGTCATACACAGCTAGGGGGGCTTCCCTATTATGGCCTGTTCAGAATCACAGTTCTTAATAGGGGAAGCGCCCTCAGTGTTTTGATGATGTACCCTAATTCCTCTAGAAATTTATCACGTTTATGTGATCCTCTGGTATAGATAACGCTTTTATACTTGTGCAATTTGACAAAAAAACAGACTAAAAATTTTGCTAAAAATAAATCTGTAGCTTAAATCGCAGAACTAACTTCAAAATTGAAATTACCGCACCCGAATCAGGCAAGATCAAATTTTTATATAAATGCAAAAAAATTTGAGTGTAATCCTTAACTATCTTGTTGTTATTTATTTATAAATTACTTTATAACTAACTTAGAATTTTCATTTCACAATGAAATAATTATGAATATATTGAAAAGAAGTAAACAATATTTCTTAAAAAGAAATTTTAAAAACATTTTAAACCCCCTATCGTCACAATAAATTTCCACAGGTCTGATTGAAATCTCTAATATTTGGATATTTGGTATATTTCATTAATTTATTAATTTACGAATCAAAACATATCTACTTAATTTAGAAACATGCAATGTAAGAAAAACATACAACTGAATTACGAAACTTTATTTACACTTTTTCAGTTTACTTTTTACAGATAATTTAAGATTTCTAAGGGAAATGTTTTTTTTTTATTGCATGCATGTTACTACATTATCATTTTTTTTTCTTTCCCTTTTGCATGGGATTTATATCTTAGATTTAGATTTTTCTTAGCAATTTACTTTTCTTTTTATTTCTACATATTCAGCAATTGTCAATGTGAAATAACAGTTGATAAAGTCAATAAAGAAGCGCATAAACAACATTTTAGAAGCCGTACAGTTTTTGTTACGAGTTTAAAATTTATACATAGTACACTAACGCTGTTTTACGTTACACTATACAGTAGTCACTTTTCGAAAATTAGAGATTTCGCAATTAACTAAAAAGAGTACAATTTTTTATTAATGATAAATTATAGCGAATCATTAATAAAAAGTACGATATTTTACTAGTGATACAGATAATTTAAGATTTCTAAGGGAATTTTTTTTTTTTTTTTTTTATTGCATGCATGTCATTACATTATTGAAAGTCATCTCTCTTATGGTCCATATATTAGAACCTTGATCAGTTTTTTTTTCTTTCCCTTTTGCGGGGGATTTATATCTTAAATTTAAATTATTCTTAGAGATTTATTTTTCTTTTTATTTCTATATATTCAGCAATTATCAGTGTGAAATAACAATTGATAAAGTCAATAAAGAAGCACATAAACAACATTTTAGAAGCCGTACGGTTTTTGTTACGAGCTTGAAATTTATACATAGTACACTAACGCTATTTTACATTACACTATACAATAATTACTTTTCAAAAATTAGTGATTTCGCAATTAACTAAAAAAATTGCGATTTTTTATATTAATGATAAATTATAATTAGTTGAAATTTTAGAAGGATTAAATTCCTTTTAAAATCTCATTCCTAATCCAAAAATTCGTTGATACAGTTACGACAACAAAGAATTAACACAAACGATGTAATAAAAGTTAATAAGACTGACAATTAAAACTTTACTTACTTTTTCAATTGTTCGTGCAGGTTAATATGCTTTGAAATGTATTCTATCTCGAACTGAAATATTTTGAACTTGTGTTAGAAAGCGAACTTTCTCTTCTTGCTTGAGCGGGTTTCCTCGGTCAACAGGTGTCTCTGTTTTACCTTTTCTGAGTAATTCTACACATCAGTGACTTTACCTTTTACTCACTATTTATAGGTCAATTTCGCAAAATAAACAGGTTTACGGAAATTATGGATGGTAGATAATTATTAAGTGGTGCAGCAATAATATATCATTTTCCGGATCTTAAAAAGATAATTACAATATTTTCAGTTGCATTTCGAGAGAAATAATTTTAAATTTTTTTTAAATATTTTATTCAATTTTTCAATCTCAGAAAAGATTTTATTCAAACTGCTTTAATTCTTTGGTGCACAGGTTAATTCTTTGTCGATAATTTTAATTTCTCTTTAGAAATATTATCAACATTAAAGTTTTGAATATGCGTTGTTAATAGAGCTATGGCGTTGCACAGTGGGCCAGCATCCAAGGTTTCGTGGCCAAAGTTAGTATTTCGATAAAATGTGTTTCAAAATTTGGGGGTTTTTATGTTCAGGTAAATTGAATACACAGTTGAAATTTTGTAATACACTAAAAATATCCAAAAAAAAACAAAATGGCGGCTGAAATGGCGAGCAAGAATAAAAAAAATAATATAGTACGTTTAAATAATTAAATATATAACAATGAAAATATAATAATTTTCATAATTTTATATTAAAAATGAAAAGCAAATTGTATTTCCGAAGTAATATTACAAAATAACGGGAATTAATTACAAAATAACGCGAAAACATGAAAAAAAAAACATAATTTTTGTTTTTCGGTATATTTAGTCCACCTTTGCAATACAGGCAAGTCCCGCAGTGGACTGATCGTTAAGACACGGTTCCCAGCAGATCACCGAAATCAAGCATCACTGGCTACAGTCAGTGTGCGGGTGGGTAACCACTTGGATCAGTCTGCGTAGGGACCGAGGGTGTGCGGTATTGGTCCTCGTTAAACTGTTCCACCGTAAAGTGCTCGACTTCGCGTGCAGGTCGTCGGACTACCGAAGCGGGGGTGCCATCTACTCTGCAGAGGATCAAAATTGTAATGGCATGTCTTCGGATCATCCTCAGGGGTGCTTCCCAGACCGTCGCCAATAGCCCATCATGCAGCTCTAGTGCGACGCAAATTAACTACAACAAGAACAACAGCAATACAGGCAAGGTGGGGCAGGTTTTTTCGAAAGAAGAAACATCAAAGAAGACAACAAAAAAAGTTTAGCTAATTACCTCTTGGAGCTTTTTGGAACTAAGTTTCGAAAGTCATTCAAACATTGTAAAATGTCGAATGATAAGATATTAACTATAAGTTTGTCAAGAGTATTAACTAATCCAACTAACTGAAAAATTGTACTATAATTTCAGACTAATTACTCTGATAAAAATGTAACAGTAAGGTGAAATTCCTATATATATTTCTGAAATAAAAATTTAAAAGTTAAATTTAAAAAAAAAAATTTAACATATTTTTCATTGCATTGTTGTCTCGTCGGTTCAAAAAGTAAATAATAATGTTTGGAATGATTACGAATACTTAATTTGGGCTATATTAAAACTGCCTACACATATTTTAGTTCAAAATTTAATTTTTGACTTTTGACCAAAGATCATGGTCTTCTGGCCCACAGTGCGTTGGCTAAGAGAATTTAGTAGAGTAAAAGAAAAAAAAATGAAAAAAATTCTCTAGACATCAATTCTGGTTTGTTAATAGCTAGACCCTATTTGTTAAGCGAAGAAAATAAGTCTTTGATTTTATGAAAATTATTTAGACAAGTATTTATAGTTATGTGAACTAAAATATTACTTGAACAAATATAATGACCATCATTTAAACTAAAACTTGTTAAAAAAATATCAATTTTGTTATATTTACTAAATAAATTAACTAACAAAAGAGATGAACTCATCGCATCTCATAACTAATTATGTTATAAAATAAAATTAGAGCTTAAATGAAATATCTATAATTTTAATCGCACGTAAAAAAAAGAAAAAAATAGAAATAGAAATTTTGAACAACATTTTTGAATTATCATTTACTTATGAATGCCATTTTTAACATTTACTTTTTCATGAATTCAGTGAAAGTTTAAATCAAGCATAAACCGGGTTCGAAGTTGGAGTCGAGCTCTCGGAAAGTTCTGGAATAGGAGTCAGACATATTAACTAACAACTCTCCTGCTCTGATTATTAGACCCAAAGAGAATTTTTACGAAATTAATTTATTTAAATTATTAAATATATTAACTAAAAATAGATTAACTCATTTTATCCCAAAACTAGCTATGCTATAAAATAAAATGAGATCTATGGAAATATCTATAATTTTAATTGTACGTAAAAAAAATTATGCATTTTGAAATTAACATTTACTTAGGAATATTATTTGTTGCATTTACTTTTTCAAAACTTCTGTGAAATTTCTGATCGAGCATAAGTCAGATTCGAAGGTGGAGTCGAGCTCTGAGAAAAATACATTATGGGTGTCTGACATTTTAACTACCAACTTTCATGCTCTAATTATTAGATCCAAAAAGGAGTTTCACAAAGCTAATTTATTTAATTTGCTACTTAAATTAACTAACAAAATAAATGAACTCATTTTATCTCTATCAAGTTATGCTATAAAATAAAATCTAGTCACGCTATAAAATAGTATGAAAATTTAAATGAAATACCTTTAATTTCAATCATACTTAAAAAGGAAAAAATAAATAAATGATAGAACTATATATTTTCAAATTAACGTTTACTTTGGAAAGGCATTTTAACTACTAACTCTCCTGCTCTTTATAAAATTAATTTATTTAATTTACTAAAAGAATTAACTAAAAAAATTAATTAACTAATTTTATTTCAAAACTAGCTATGCCATTAAATAAAATAGAAGTTTAAATAAACTACTTTTAATTTTAATCGTACGTAGGAATGGAAATGCACAATTAATATGATAATCAATGTAATTAATATAAACTTAACATTTACTTAGGAATGGAGTTTTTATTATTTACTTTTTCTAGAATTCGAGGAAAATTTTAATCGAGCGTAAGGTGGGTTCGAAGTTGGTGTTGAGCTCTCAGAAAAATCTGAAATGGGAGTAAAATTAATTTTAAATGCCGACACTCTTGCTCTGAATATTAGATTTAAAAAAAAGGAGCTTTACAAACAATAAATAAATAAATAATTAGCATGAATATAATGTATTATCGTTTCAATACACTAATTAACATTTCCGCTTACACAATAATTACTTAAAAAAACTTGATTAAGCATAGGAAAACTCAGTGAAAATATTTTTAAATTTTTAAAAATTCGAAGCACTGAAATTAGCTGCCATTTGAAACTTTAATTTTTATTATATCATGATTCGTTTAGTCCTTAAAAATTAAAAAAAGTTGGTGATTCTATTTTTTTAAGAATAAAAATATTTGGAATAAATAAAAGCATTTGTAATCACCACTATATGTATCTAAATTTTGAATAAAGTTAATGGAAAAAGCTGTAAATTCGCAAGGGCATATTTTTTTAAAAAAAAGTTTAAACCATAATTATTTCATAGATTTTACATTTTTGCTAACTTTTTTGTTTCATTTTGTTTATTATTATTATTATTTTTTTTTTTTTTGTCTAGTTCAGTGGTTCCCAACCTGGGGGCGATCGAGCTTCTCAAGGGGGCGATAATCCTTAGGGGGGCGACGAGTACTCAGATAAAAATTGCCAATAATATTAATAAAAGCTATTTGAGAATAAAATTGAAAATATATATGAAACCTATGGTTCTGGTGTAGACAAAGAATTATAATAGTTAAAAATTAAAAAAAATTCAAGTGCAGGATCGTTTTTGTCATACGTTTTGGTATCACAGGCGGAAATCTGACAAGTCCTCTGGGCAATAATACTGTTTCCAGGCGTATTGATGAGATGGCCGCCGACGTTGAATCAAAACTCATCAAATTTCTGAAAGAAGGTAAATTTGCGTTGCAGATTGATGAATCAACTGTGATAGATAAAAAAGCTGTTTTAGCTTTCGTGAGATTCATAAATCAGAGTAAGAAGATTAACGAGGAAATGTTGTTTACAAGAACTTTGAACACAGATACAAAAGGATCGTCGATTTTGAAATTGGTCAAAGATTATTTTGAGGTAAAAGAAATTCCCCTCACAAATATAAGTGCTTGTGCAACAGATGGTGCTCCAACCATGTCTGGTTGTCATACTGGGTTTCTGGGTCACCTTAAAAAAGAAGTACCGGAAGTTATCTCACCATTCATTATGTCATACATAGTCAACTTTTGGCTGCGAAAAATTGGTTATTTCTGGCATCAATAAAATAAAAGCTAATTCTCCTAATAACCGTTTGTTCCGAGAACTTTGCCATGAAAATTATGAAGATTTAGAATTCCTGCTCCTACATACAGCTGTGAGATGGCTTTCAAAAGGAAATTGAGCCGTTTCTTCGAATTGTTGGATTCGGTTACTGAGTTTCTCGACACCACTGATCCTGTTTTAAGTGAGAGTTTGAAGCAACACAAGTTGGAAACTGCGTACCCCACTCATAGTTTTGAAAAAATGAAGGAAATCAACGTAAAACTTCAAGGAAATAAAATAAATATTATCAAGGCTTATCTTCATTCATCGCCAAGTTTGATATCTACAAATCAAACATTGGTCGCAAAGAGCTAATGCAATTTCCAACTCTTAAAAAGTTTGATATCTACAAGTCAAACATTGGTCGCAAAGAGCTAATGCAATTTCCAACTCTTAAAAAGTGTGCCAACTCTTAAAAATGGCAGATATCGAGATTCTCGAAAATAAAATCTTAATTTTTACTAATCACCTTTATCAGTTATGGAATCAAGATTTAAAGATTTGATGAAATTAGAAATTTCGGATTGGATTTTCGATCCTTTCTCTTTTGAAGTTGTGCATAAGTTCACTTCCTCTTTGTAGTCTGAGATTTTAGATTTTAAGTATGACTGTGAGATTAAAGTCGTCTTTAAAAAATACGGTTACGAGTTAGCTTGGGTAAAGCTTATGGACACTTATCCACAATTGTGGAAACAAACTGAGCCGCTTCTCATCTCGTTCCCGTCAACATATTTAGTGGAGAGAGGATTTAGTTCTGTCTTCCAGCTGCTCACAATTGCAAAGAGAAAGGTTGGACATTTGCTTCAAAGGAGACCCGCGTTT